GTCTCTTGTGTAGACTAAAGTCATAGATCAACACATAGCAACAATCTCTGTTTTGTCAAATATTTAGCAAACTAAATATATACGTATCGAAAATCTCTTATATGCCTGTGCCGATCTACAACCGCCCATTTCCAAGGGGTTGAGCGTCATGAGAAGGGCAAACAAACTCACGGTCAGCTTACCAGCTGTTGTCAGCTTACCATCATCACTTGAATTATAATAGCCTTGGTGAACAGTCAATTTGAGCTCTCAACCCTATAAACTATTCTATTGTTTCCAATTTTATGGACTGATAATCCTTATCATCCCGTGGGTGTCGTAAAAACCGACTAAGGAAGCAAACTACTCAGGACAACAGCACTGCAAATAGAAGAAAAACTTGACACAAACCTTATAACAACCGCAACGGTTTAACTTAACCAGGTTGTTTAAAGCTGTTGATGATTATGTTGACCTGCTCGAATTATTGCGCACACTCCCTAACCCATCTGCATCACTAATCTCTCCAACACACCTACCACTGTAACCCCTGTACACCAGTGACCCACGAACACACCGAGTTATGACACTCGGAAAGTCCTAGGAAAAAAGTAGACTGTCTTTGAACCCGCAACGAAATTTGTCAGAAGAATATTGGAGGAGTTGGACATATAATAAATCCACTTCTCTCCTTAGCAAAACAGGAGACACAATGAAGTAAAATAGGCATACACCCTTTTAAACAGGGAAGCCCCACGGCCACTAAATATTATGGGCCCTAAGTAAGCTATTTTCCGTGTGGTGACGGATTAAGAATACAGAGTGTCACCACCCCTATTCATCCCGTGGGTGTCGTAAGAGGCGACTAAGGGAGCGAAATACGCAGGACACCAGCACTGCAGAGACAAGGAAAACTTGAAACTAAACTCGCTATACCAACCCGTCTGGCCAGCGTGGTATAGTAGGCCAAAACCTCCTTTCTAAGGAGAGGCCTATGTCCAGTAGTGGACTGTTAAAGGCTGTTGATGATTGATGAAGTAAGCTATATTTGATTTCTATAATATGTATGGCAGAATCGCCTACCGCATCAGCAATAAACCGCACCGTGTGCATCATCAGCTCGCCCCCTATTACGATAATCGAACTAAAATTATGGTATATAGCCGTGAGTGTAATATACATGCATGACCGTCAAATTAATAATTTATCGGAAAAACACCAAGAAACGTTTAATACGTCATTAACTGTCAGATTAATTACAACCGTTGGGTATGACTGCCTTATCATCGTAAGACGCAATTGTTTACGTAAGATGGACGAATGCGTGACGTACGTTAAAATGATTACCGAATAAATACTATCCCTCTAATACATAAAAAAATGTTGTTGGTTTGTGTACGCTTTAAAAACTCAAAAAGTTCTGCAACGATTGAGCTCAAATCCTCAAATTTTAACACGATACACAAACCTCTTCAAGAATTAATGTTTTTTATTTATTTTTCTCGTCAATTTTCTTTCTTATTTATCATCAATGCAATTTGAATGTGCTACAGCGGAGCGTCGTAAAAAGGGTACAGCAAGTGAATAACATAAAATATTTACTTTAGGCGGAGGTCACAAAGCAGTTTCACATCAACAGCCTTTAATAGTCCACTGCTGGATATAGGCTTCTCATTGGAATGGAGGTTTTGGCCTACTATACCACGCTGGCCAGACGGGTTTGTTTCAAGTTCAGTAGTTTGCTCCCTTAGTCGGCTCTTACGACTCCCACGGGATGAACAGTTCCCAGATCTTAGCTTAATTTGTTAATTAAAAATACTTCATTCGTATTGGAGAAAAAATATAATAGTTATTCGACATACTTATTCTATGCTAAAGACGCTGGCACCAGACGCCATTAAAGATGGCAAATAAGTACTGTGATTTTCTTCGAGGGATTTTAACTTAAGGGAAAATTAAACAATGAAGTATATTTTGTAAGTTGTTGGGGAATCTAAGTCGGTGATAGTTGCTTTGTAAATTTAATTATATATTAAAAAAATCTCGATATTACGAAGCCCCTTGCATATGATTATGTGGGCCGTATTTTGCTAAATCACATTCGCCCAATAGGCTTGTGTCCACTAACAATAAACTGCTTGGCTTATAGTTTCTAATTATAAATGAAGAGACATAGATAAGAAAAAACAGTATACTTCTCATAAAACAAAAAGTCACGTGACATCGAAACCCAATCAGAAAGTGTTATTTTCTCACCTTAATACAGTTTCAGTTGACACTGGACACAGATGTAAACAGTTTTGTTTCGCAGACTGTGACTGATAAATAAATAATGTAAATATTGCTTTTTCTTTATAATATAGGTGTTTTGAGAAAAAAAAGATATTAAAGTATAAAATTAACCAAGTATTCAAATTGAGTCAACTAGCCTATTGCCTGCACAATGACCAAATAACATCGATAACTATATGTTATTGTACAATACGAATTATTTTAGTAATACATTGAATACAAGTCGAAAGTCACGTAGTTATTGGTAAAGTAAAATGTAGTACCTATGTAACTGTCGTACGTGATGCGAGGACCAATTCACCTGTGATGCCATTGATAATATTATTAAAATACTCTCAAATATCTTTGATAGTTGATGTGTCTGTCCAATCACAGGACGGGTATGAGGCAAACGTGCAGGCGGATCATCAACAGCCTTTAACAGTCCACTGCTGGACATAAGCCTCTCCTTAGAAAGGAGGTTTTGGCCTACTATACCACGCTGGCCAGACGGGTTGGTATAGGGTTTGTGTCAAGTTTTCCTTCTCTCTGCAGTGCTGTTGTTCTGCGTAGTTTTCTCCCTTAGTCGTCTTTTACGACACCCACGGGATGAATAGGGGTGGTGACACTCTGTATTCTTAATCCGTCACCATACCAAATACCATCAGGGTCACCTGATGGTTATTGACTATCGCCTACCATGGACCAGCAAAAGAGTTACATGTGCGGTATTAGTCCCACCCCCGGGACCAGGAAGAGGGAGAGGCTCCGGTAATCTCAACGAAAGAATTGGTCAACAGCGGTTTCCTGTTACGTACTGGTGTCACTCCGGTCGAGCCGGCCCATTTGTGCGGCAGCATAGCTCTGGCTCTTCCACTAATGATGTTTTAGTTTGAGACTTGCAGGATCTCATACCCCAGCTTCATCGTCCTATCCGTTTTCATCAACAGCTTTTAATAGTACTGCTGGGCGTAGGCTTATCCTTAGAACCACTTAATATAACACGCTGGCCAGACGGGTTGCAATCCCTACCTTCTGAAGCTTATTACTTTTCAGGCGTCAAGGAGCGGCCGGCCATAAAACAAACTAGTCAAAATCCCTTACAATGTCACACATGATGTGGTTATTGCCTTTTTTTACCTACGGAACCCTAATATCTAGAAAATTTACTTTTTATTATAAGTATATGGTTTTGTTTTAAAAGTTAAAACGAAATGACTTGTACGCTATATATGGCCAGAAGTGACGGGTTTACCTCACTGGCCTCCTGTGACAGTCTCCGGAAGAGACATGAGAATAGGCCCCGGAGGAAGATCTTCATCAGTAATTCCTAAAAGCCCAGCGTCATCAGAACGTGTTGTGCCGTCTGGGCTGATACCACGGCCTCACAGAACCTGTAAAGCAATTCTTTCATTGAATTTCACCGAGTAAAAGGGATAACGGAGGGTCCAAACCGCCTCCTCTCATTCTGACGGTTTAATTCAAAAACTGGCGACGCTCTTGTAAGTGTTAAGTGACATGTGTTTAAAGGCGCGGTACCTAGCATATCTACCCAGCATTGGTGTGAAAGGATGGCCTGGACAACACCTTTTCAAGAATATACGAAAGTAGCCCGTGGTTCTAAAGGCAGGCGTTAGGGAGGCACCGATCGTAAGTCTTACAACAGACGTTTCTGGACTACAGAAAGCACTGACGGTGGCGGCTATAAATTCACACGTAGAAAATAAGTATTAGAAGGCTCAGAAACGGCCTTTGTTAAAACATTGACGCCAAGGCATAAAACCGCACCCTTGCAGGAATGTATTTTAATGGAAATCTGTCTTCCTCCCAGAACCTCTAAACCTCCTCCTTCTTAGTGCTATAAATGTATAGGAACTGACCTTTATGCAATACCTACCTCGCAGAAGGTTGCGACCGCGGTAAAACAACTGTCGCTACCGGCCATGGAGCGTACTACGGCCGGTAGCGAGAGATCCACTCCGATGACTGCAGTGAGGGCCCGGCGCTGCGCCGCCCATGCGGGGCAGACCGCCAGCGTGTGCTGGGCCGAGTCCTCACTGCAGTCGCAGTGGTGGCAGGCGGGACTCAGTTCCCTCCCAGCGACCGTGTGCAGGTACTTTCCGAAGCAACCGTGCCCGGAAAGCACCTGCGTCAGTCGGAAGGAAAGGGCGATGACCGGCTGGAGAGCCTCCACGGCGGCGAAGCCAGCGCGTGGAGTCTCCAGCCGGAACGACCAACGAGCCATCGTGGCTCGGCGAGCGGCTTCGCGCCACTCGCGCACATCCTCGGGCGGAGGGCGAAATCCGCTCTCCGCCCGGGAGTCAGCCACTCGCCGATAAACTTCGGCGACTTGTCAAGTCAAGTCATCAGACTTGCCACAACCCCAGTACTAGGCGATACCGAAGTTCTGTAGATAGACTATTGTCAGGGCTGCAACTACCCGTAACGGTTGCCACAGATATATATTGCAACCGGGACGCAAGAAAGGGTCTTAATGAGTTAAAAATGGTCACCCATCAATGAAGTGACCTGGCTATGATTGCTTAACTATGCATGTGTTAAACTACTCGCTTGTAACTTAGCTACGAGCCCCTCTTATCAAGTGTGTTGAAAAAAAACAATGTTTGTAACAAAAACGAAGAAAGTATTGCAACATCAACTAGCCGCAATAGTGCCAGTAATAGCGATAAGAGGTCGAATATAGGGCTCCGGGGCAGAGGACTCGACACAGTGTAGGATTATACATCACAATGAAGACTTTCTTGGTATTGTGTGGACTTGCAGCCCTGATGCAGGTACGTGGATCTAATTTTTTGTTTCTTTTAACAATCTTAAAGTATATACCTTAATTTTTAACACTTATATGCTTTCTCCTCGGTGACCCCTATGACCAGGCATGGTATTTTAAAGAGCTTCATCCGTCCCCCCTGATTGCGATACGTTGTACGGGTACGTTCCCTTAGCTTTATTGATTTATTCATATAATTCTTTATGCACAAATGAAAATTGTACCTACAATGGCTGACTGAATTCTGAAGGCATTTTCTCACAGTCTACCTTTGGGTGACTGCTAGCAAACTACTAATCCTATGTGGAACTTGTAGGTAAGTAATTTATACATTAAAATTACTGGCTCTTACTGACTGATTGATCAACGCAGAGGCTATACCGCTGGGGCTACAAACTTGAAACTTTGCAACCTGGTGCTTTTTATGTTGTAAGAACCCACTAAGAAAGGATTTTGGGAAAGGATTTAGAAACACGAAATAGGAATTAATCAGGCGAACGAAACTGCGGGCTTCTGATAGTTGTATAGAAAAGAAACTTTGTAGATACAATAATAATAATATTTCGGACATTTACACAACGCCATCTAGTTTCAAACTAAGCAGAGCTTGTACTATGAAAGCTAGATCGACTGATTGAATACTTGAATTGGTACTTTTTTTGTAAATACATACAATGGAATTTTTATGACAGTAAATGATCTGATGATGGAGCTAAGACTGGATAGTGGAACTCTGCCGATGGTATTAGCAAATGCAAACCCTTCGAATTTGCGCTCATTTGATTGATTTTACCATGTCCATACATTGGAGTCGGTATTGATGGTCTGATGATGGAGTCTAAACGAAAGCGGAACTGGGTTTTACTTTTTAATTCTGTTTGACATTTAAGCGTGTTTTTTTTTCTAAACTATAATTATTATGAATATCGAATATATATACATCAAATATGTAGCCACTGCTATGTAACTAACCGTTTCTTTATTTCTGCGTTTCAGGTGGCTCACTCTCAATGCCTGCCAGTAGCCTACAGCCTCCCAGCCGCAGCACCAGCTCCTCTGGTGCTCCCCGCGCCAGCCCCCGCATGTCCTTCGGCAGGCATCTGCCCTGCGCTCGCAGCCGTAGCCCCAGCCCTCCCTGTCCTCGCCCCAGCATTAGCCAACACTCTCTCAGCATCTATTGCAGCAACTTTGCCTCCTCTTCTTGAAAGTGCGTTGCCGACTCTACTGACCTCAGCATTATCAGCTGCTGGACCTTTGCTGGAAGCTGCGTTGCCTTGTGGATGTGGCCTACCCGCCCCAATGGCGCTACCTGCACCACTGGCTTTACCAGCTCCTGCGCCCTGCGCTAGTTTAGCCTATGCTGCACCATTGGCCCCTCCACCAATGTATGCCGCCCCGTGTGCGTACTCAGCACCGACCACTTGTTTCTGCTACTAAATATTGTTAATAAAATGATATCTATATACCTGTGTCTTTTACTACTTTTGTTAGGGTATGTCATGGTGCATATTAACCAAAAGTTATTTTGGTTCTTCTATTTAACATAAAGTATATTTCAATAGAAAAACGATCTGCATCAAATTCTGTCGTCAAAGAACCAGAAACCTAAAATGTTGCCTGCTACAATAAATTTGTAAATGGCATGCAAATAATCCTATATCCATACCTAATCAATGCTTTCACTAAACACAATGATAACCGTTAAATTAGAACTTAAATTGCATTTCAAATGTTGTGTCAACAGTAACTATAGTATCTCTATGAGTCAATCAATCAAATTTTTATTGTGAAACATAGTTATACATTATATGTTTACAGAAACGGTTATGAGTCAATATGGAACCAGGTTGTATTCATTAAGAGTGGGAAACCCATGCTTCAGCACAAATGGGCTTCCTCGACCGAAGCAATACTACGATCTCACATAAAACCGGTGTTAAGCAATTTAGCAAGAGTGAGTGAGGTTACCGGGGCCCAAACTCCTCCCACTGAATCTGGGGAAAGGATTTAAAGGGTGGCAAAGCACTTTCTATCAGGTCCAGGTGTTCACTGTAAGCAAACCATTGAAGGTGTCCATAAGCGGCGGAAATTACTTACCATCAGGAGTCCCATCTGTTCATCAAAAAAAGATTTAGATTTTTGTTTAAAAGTAGATTATTAATTTTAAGAAACAAAGAAACGTCTTATTTTGTCATCAGAAATCTTATATATAGTGAAGTTCTGTACATAAATAAAGTCAATATACATTGGATCTTAAGGTTGTCCAAATTATTAGTGCATTACCGTATTTTCAGGTTCTTATTGGGAAATGGAAAAAAAATAGTAGAATTATGTAGTGAAACGAAACGTTATCGGAGTAAAATATTTGAAGTGGCAAGTTTACGCTAAACTTCAAATCAAAGTGCTGTGAGATTTGCGGACTCGTTTTTATATGATTATGATTATTTTTACTGCGAAAATAAGTTGAAAGTTGGACAATAATCCATTCAATTAAAGTATCGGACTGTAAAGCAATACGCTAAGCTCAAGGTAAGGGGCAAAAACGTGCACAAATCGCGGTATTTGGTCATGGTTGTCATTACGGGGTAGGTATTATTTTTGTTTTGTGTGAATATCGCTGAGTAATTTTGGGTTAGTGTTCTGTGCGCGCGGTTAATGCTGCGAACTTGTCAGCGTGCCAAATCTGCGGGAAACCGAAACATCATCGTCGTCGTTCATTATCTTTCGACAAGGAGCTATTCGCACTATTTATGCCTGCTGTTGGTCTCGACCTTCGAAACTAGTGGTGTACAGGGCTGTATCAGCTTGGTGACCTTGACCTACCACCCCCTGACCCTCAGGAAGGTCCCAACGACGTCCTATCAACAATGACTTGCTTGTTTTTTGTTGACCCATTTAAACTTGTTGGAAGCATTGAAAATAATTAAAATCCCATTTGTTACGAGCAATTAATTGATTAGAATAAATTTGTTTTTTAATGTGTGATTAATAGGGCTACAGTTTATTTACCAATAAGTACCAAGTTGACACATAATTTTGTTCTTTGACATAATCAAATATTTCAAAGTTTCGCAAGATGTTTCATACTTTGGTTAGTTCTGGCTTGATGAGCACATAGTTGAAATTGTAATACAAATGCATTATAAGGAATTTGTAGGCAAAAGTGATTGAAATAAAATCCTTAATTTACCTAATTTAAAGTTATAGGTGTTTAATATTCTCGAAAGGATTAATGAAGCTAAGGGTTCATCCCTTTAGCTTAGCTAATCCTTATAGTAGTGGAATACCATATATACCAGTAAGGAAAAAGAATATGAAACAGGAATCAGGTTAAGGTATTAAGTTAAGGCCACAAGGTTGAGTAGGAAACGTGAACAAAAATGCATGTCCGTATCTGTATGTGTCACCCCTATTCGAACTGTGGGTATCATAATAGTTGACAGAGGGAGTAAGAAGGAAAACTTGACACATACCTGGCAACAACCCAACCACAACCCATCTGGCCAGCATCGTATAGTATGCCAAAACTCCCTTTCTAAGAAGAGGCCTATGTCCAGCAGTGGACCACTAAAGGCTGTGGATGAATAAAATTGCATCAGCGCAAAGTGGCCTCGTTTGTATATATGTTCATCCTGATTTGAGAGGCTGCTAGGGGAAGACACGTTGTGACCAATCCCATAATATTATTTACATACTATACTAAAAAGAAATTAACTTACTTCTATTAAAAAATTGCACCTAATTTATTTTATACTAACAACAACAACAAACAAACGAACTAAACAGCAACGAAAATTAATCTATAACTAAGATACAGGAGTTGTAGACATACTAACATATTAACATTCATTGTGACTAAGTATAGAACTTTCAATTTTTTTAAGTTTGTTAAAAAGACTAAAATGTGCTAATTGTTTAATTGATATTGAAATGTTATGCACTTGCCCGCGGATCCGCCAGCGTGTATGTCGGTTATAGCGGTAAAAAGTTGATTATGTTACTTGCTGAAAATGTCGATTTCCATTGATGAAAGAATATTTAAAATCGGCTTAGTGGTTTAGGCGTAAAGGTGTAACAAACAAACTCACTGTCACATAAAATATAAGTAGGGAAAATGCAAAACATTGATTTTTAACAAAAACAAATTATTTTTCTTTCTTTCAATGTTTTTTCTGCCATATGACATCTTATTTAATTGTTTGTATTGACCTAATATTTTTTTTTTCATATTTTTTTACTTTGCTTGACATAAATATTTTGATTTTATTTAATGTTTTTGAATGCCACTATTCTAGTAAAAATTATTTGTATCTTCTACTACCCATAGTAACACCATTTGTCACAATATTTTTGCAAATAAATATGATTCTGATACTGATTCAAGGTTTGTAAAAGTTATTGTAAATAACATATTTTAATTGCATGTTCAACAACGCTTTGACTACTGTCTGCCCTAGACTGACTTATGTAACCACTTAGTCATGAGTTGTATTCATCGGCCACACTCAGACTCAGTTGAAACCTTTTAAAATGAGGCTCTACTATCGAGGGTTGTTCATCTTTCCAAATACTTATTTTATTTGCTGTATACATTTTTGTCTTCTTTTTCATTTAACATTATGGGATTAAAGTAGAATGGTTCTTCTGAGCCTTTTTACCCAAACTAGGCTGGGGTCGGCTTAACTCTACTACAATACGGCTGAACTTCGATTTTTTATGATTGAAGTTCTGTAGAAAGAACTTTTCTCTGACTTTTTAGGAATCCAACCACCCGTAACGATTGCCACAGATGGGAACAGACGGCCTAACGTGATCTCCGAGTCACAGAGGGGTCTAAATGTGTTAAGAATGGTCACCTATCCATAGACTGACCTGGCTAGAATTGCTTAACTTTGCAGTGTGTTAATCTACAAGCCCCGTACATTAATATTCCAATTAAATTGCAGGTACATGGTAGCTGTTTGTGATGATGTCACTGAAGCCGAGGAACGTGGACTTTACTGAGACATGGACACATCTCAAAGAAACGGTACTATTCTAAAATAAACCTTTTGATTTTTTTTATTTTAGATAGGGAGCAAACAGGCAGATGTCCAACCTGAATGAAATCGACTCATGCTTATAACCCCGAAGGAGTAGGAAATGTCGTAACAAATGCTCACATTTTGCCAGCTCAACAATTGTTCTCCCACTTCAAAGGCCAGCAATGCGCTTGTGACTCCTGAGTTGCAGCTGTCCAAGGGCAATAGCCAATTTAGTTAAATTATCATCATCATCTCAGCCAAAAGACTGCTGGACATAAGCCTCCCCCAAAGTTTGCCACAACCACTGATCCTGTGTTGCCCACATCCAACGACTTCCCGCGGGTCGACCCGGAGAATCGCCAAACTTAAGTTGCATTTACCGGGTCACATTGCTCGCAGAAACGTGGGAAATAATTAAAAAAAAATCTACCGAAGCCAAACAAAAAAGATTTGACCTTTTTTTCAAGTGTGAATTTTTATTCACTGCAGTTTATTAGTTACATCAAAGCTTTATTACAAGGATTTGGATGTTTTTAATTCTCCGTTGTTTTCAGGTGGCTGGTGTGGTGGGCCTTCGAGCCGTGGAGCGTTCTGTGTGGAACACGCGCTTTTCTGACGTGTACGCGCTGTGCGTGGCGCACCCCGAGCCCCTCGCCGACAGACTCTATGACGAAACTAAGTGAGTAGACATACCTGCCGTATCTTTTTTTTTTTAATAGGTTTCTTTGCTTTAAGATTTATGAACAATGGAAGCCTGAATCTTTAATTAATAATAAAGCTTAAAAATTGGAAAAATGTTAGTATATTAGAGAGAAAATGATGGAAGACAGAGTAAAGAGATGTCCCCTAGCGGGATAGATTTCGGTTTGTAAGCTCCCCGACCTAAGTTGAAAGGAAAATAACATTTAGAGACATCTGCGATCTCTGACAGATAGACCTTTGGAAGTGTTTTTGGTACACATTTGTTACACAAATATTTGACTGTATCACAGAAGGAAAAATGAGCTGGTCATTGGGGTTGACAATGGAGGCTAAAATGTCTGAAGAGTAGCCCAGAAAGTAGCAGTTTGCGATCTCCGTTCGGTGCCAGGATGTCAGCAAAAAAGCGGATTTTAGCTCCCGAACCGGGCGGTTCTGACTCACAGCTGATATCTGATACATACTTATCAGAGCGAGAACTTTTATTACGCGATGTAGAATCGTTTGCCTCCATGTAGTTAGGCTTGACTTGACGTTAGATGGCGCTAAAGTACGTTTAGCTGTATTTGGATGGAGTACAGAAAGACCAGCGCACCAAATGGTTTCTCTTCAGCCACACAGGGGTGTTGCTGCCTGTTCCGAGGTATTCCATTCCAAAACAGGATAAATACGGATCCTGGCAAATGGCGTCTCTGCTGGAAAGAGGCGTGACTGTATATCTATGTGTTTATGATACATACTTGTTTTTTTTTTGCAGGAGTTTCCTGGAGGAGCATGTGGCGGGTCTCCTGGCGCGTGTGCGAGGTAGCTCCTCCTTGGAGAATAACGATCACAACGATGGACTGCTCACCAGGTGATCTAAAACTAAATAGTATTACCTACCCCATACACCTCTCGCACGGCAGTCTGAACTAGACAGCCTGATAAACATACATCAATATTACTAAATACACACATGTCACAGATAAATTGGGTTGGAATAGTCTAGATGACTCAATTTGAAAACTTGGTTAATTATATACTTTAATATCTACTTTATCCCAAAGGAACCTATATTTATATTACTTATTTTGTATTAAAAAAAAACCAATTGAATTTCCCTTGAAAACGCTAAATAGTGTCATGGCGTCTTGAATGACGTCACAGTCTACGAAACAAAACTGTTTACATCTGTGTCCAGTGTCAATTGAAACTGTATTAAAGTGAGAAAATATGCTCAAAACGAAAAACAATAAGGAGTAACCTGCTCTGTTGTATGAAAACGTCAACAACAACAATGATGTTTTGCGTGGCGTTTTTTTTAAATATTAATTAACTGCACGGATGGCGTAGTGGTTTAAGCGGTCGCCACGCCGCTTCCTACTACGCCGAGTGTTGTGGGTTCAAACCCCACATGGGACGACACTTTGTGTGATCCACAAATTGTTGTTCTGAGTCTGGGTGTTCTTTATGTCCGTTTCATGTATGTTTGTAAAGTCCCCCGCGACACAGGATATATTCCTAATGCGGGAGTTGTCTTTTTAAAAAGAAAAAAAATAATAATCTTTACTTTCATGAGAATTAGAGTGGTTTTTTCTTATCCATGTCTCGTCATTTATAATTTGAAACTATAAACCAAGCAATTTGTTATTACTGGACACAAGCCCATTGTATCCACGAGGTCAGCTTTAGCAGTCAGGGTCACTAAACACTAGAATCAACAGGATTGTCAATTGTATTCTGTATTCTCCTATTGGGCAGATATGTGACAGCGTGGCGAGAGTACAGTCAGGGCGTGGCGTACCTCAATAGCCTGTATTCATATCTAAACCTTCAACACGTCAAACGACAAAAGGTAACTTACATTTATAACATAACTTTGCATTATAAACCCTATTCCCTTGTCATAAAACGCTGAGGAGCATTACACAGAATTATCCAAAAACCTTGTAAAGTGCTCTCCCCTCTCTCTCTCTCTCCACCCCCTCTCTCTCTCTCTCTTCCCCCTCTCTCTCTCTCTTCCCTCTCTCTCTCTCTTCCCCCCCTCTCTCTCTCTCTCTTTTTCTTCCCTCTCTCTCTCTCTCTTCTTTCCCTCCGCTATCCCTTTCCTCTCTAACTTTCTGCAACACCCTTATGCCCAACATTAATGTATGTATTTCAAATGTCCCGCAGGTATCCGACGCCGAAATTATCTACGGGTCAGCGGCTACAGTCTCCTGTCCAGAGAACGATGCGCGTCAGTTAGAGGTATGTGCCATATGTATTCTTTAACTTCCAGGATCCAGCATCTCATACCACTTTGAACTCAAAAAAAAAAAAAAATAGTTCATATAGTTTCCGTTGATGGCGCTAGGGTTGCTCATTATTAGTAAGTAGAGTTTAAATTATAGCCGGCAAAAGAGAGTGTTTATATTCCTCTGTGTACCCCTCCTGGTTTTAGGTGTAAGTTTATATATTGGGTTCCATTTTGAATTTTCTCAAATAAGTACTCCCAAAAATCATTTTGTAATTAGTCTACTCTCACCGATAGGTCGGTGAACTAGGTCTGGAGATCTGGGAGCGTGTGCTGGTCCGGCCTCTATCGACGGCGCTCACGGGGCGGATAGTGAGCGCTCTTTGCTCCGCGAGGGACAGCACTCCAGACCCTGCACTCGCTACCACTCTTAAAGAGGCTATACACAGCACCGTACAGGTAAGACGTGTCGATCGGACGGACCGTACTCGTCGGTGCCGGAGACGTAACGCTGTGGGTACTGCAGGTGCGCGCGTTCCGGGTGCGGGCGCCGCTGCAGCTGTACCAGCAGCTGGTGCTGGAGCCGTACCTGGCGGCGGCGGGCGCGGCGCACGCGCGCATGGCGGCGGCGCTGCTGGCGGCGGGCGACGTGGCGCACTACACGCGCCTGGCGCTGCAGCAGCTGGAGCGCGAGGTGTCGCTGGGCGCGCGCTTCCTGGACGCGTCCTCGGCCGAGCAGGTGCGCGCCTGCTACGAGCGCGCCGCCGTGGCCGCGCACCTGCCCGCGCTGCACGCCACCGTCGACAAGCTCATGCGGGACGCGGCCACCGACGAGCGGGACGGACAAGAGGTAACCGTCGATCTCTTCTCGCTAGGCTCGTTAGAGTACACCGATTCGAGTCGACGTGATACATAAAAAGTTCACTTATCGAGTATTCGAATTTCTTATTCGATCACATAAACCGTAGTATCTCGTAGATAATTACGACGGTTCCCGTGAGCGTTTCAAAACTATCCGGGCTCAAATCGGTACCCTGCGGTACGCCTCGAGTTTTGACCCATATTTCGTTTCGATTCCAACGAATCATTATTTTTAAATCCCACCGTAATTAATATTACCATTCAAGTAGGAAACAACAATATTTATTCTATTCTTTTTTCTGTAATAATGCTATCGTTAGTACCGATCGTTGATTATCAACACAATCGAAAGCCTCAGTGAAGTTAGATGTGCGCTTGTGTAGCGGCGCGACGACCTGCGGCGCATGTACGTGCTGCTGCGGCCGCTGGGCGGCGCGGCGCTGCGGCCGCTGGTGGACGCTGCGCACGCGCAGGCCGCCGCCGACGGACACGCGCTGCTCGCGCAGCCGCACAACAAGGACGAGGTAGGGGCGCAGCCACTCGTTCTTCGCGAGAGAACATTTCGTTTCTAATATCACTTCTTTTTTGTAATAAAGTACTTTATGTAGATTTTTTTTCTTAACTTGTTTGTACATTTTATTTTTCTTCTTTTATACCTACTAACTTTTTACAAATGGTATTATTACTAACCTATGCTTGTATAGTGTAAATTTCGCTTATATCGTTAGTAATAAATTTTAGAATAATCAAAATGCTTTTTTATACAACTGCCATTATTCTTCTGATTTTGCCACGACACCTAATACTTGTAACGATCAGAATTGTCATTTAATAAACTAATGGACATTTAATACTGAGCATGTTAATAGAACGACTAATTTATTCTTAATGGCTGTGTGCATTTCGCTGATGGCCGACTAATTTCGAAGCCGTCACGACGACGCTGCCATCGCTTCCTTTATCTTTTGCACCTTGCTTACGACGGATATGTTGTGTGATGTACCATACAATATTATTAATTAACAACCCTACCTTCAAATTAACCCTGAGAGCACGCTTCTTCATATATGGCCGTCTCGACAGCCTCACAGAAAACCAGACGACAACGCCCTTGTGACACTTAGTTTACGGTTTCCAGTCACTTGCCATCATAAAAAAAAACCTAACAAAAGATTAGAAAGCTTAGACTTTAAAGGTGCATAATATTTGAATCACAGAGGACCATAACCTGCTCGTGCTAATGCTGTGTTAGCCATCCAATCCATTCGCATAAGGAATATCGCTTTTATACCATCATCTTCCTTGCTTATCCACCTTTCCTTCTAAGGATACTGCCTTGAATAAGCTTACACCTTATTATGTAAGTTGGCTGTGTTTATAATCCGTGTGGTGACGAATTAAGAACACGACGTGTCACCACCACTATTCATTCCGTTGGTGTCGTAAGATTCGACTAAGGGACCAAACTACGCAGGACAACAGCACTGCAAAGAGAAGGAAAACTTGACACAAACCCTATAGCAAAATCAGGTCAGCGTGGTATAGTAGGACAAAACCTCCTTTCTAAGAAGAGGCTGATGTCCAGCAATAGACTTTTAGAGGCTTTTGATGATGATGATGATGAGCGTGAACGACGCCTCTAATCTTATACACTAATTGTTGATTTGTAGGCTCACACACACTTCGTAAACGCGATGCTGACACTACACGGGAAGTACAGCAAGTTGTTCGCTGACGTGTTCGGTGGAGCACAAGCTTTCATCGGAGCTCTCGATAAGGTAACGAATCCAAATGAGGTAACAGATTTCTGATTTTGCCTAAAATGTACTTATGGACTAAACTTTGCCGTGTTTTTGCTTTCACTTTGGTGTAATCAAATTAGGTTATGGTCTATGAGACTTCTATTTTGTGACGTCACAATTTGCTATTATAAAAACTGTTCGATGCAATAATTACGCCTTTTGCTGATCTAGCAAACTAATGCAGTCGCCTTGAGTGTGCGGCGATGTCAGTGTATATTCGGACAGCACACGGGGTGTCCTGGATTCTGATGTAGCTTAGTTCAGTTACACTTTTTATAACAAGGATTTTTAGGAGGGGTTTGAAAGGGGAGTGGATGTCAGAGATCCTTTTTCAGGGTTCCGTACCTAAAGGGTCAAACGGGACCCTATTACTAAGACAGCTGTCAGCCGTCTGTCTGCCAAGCTGTATCTCATGAACCGTGATAGTTAGACAGTTGAAACTTTCACAGATGATGTATTTCTGTTACCGCTATAACAACAAATACTAAAAACAGAATAAAGTAAATATTTAAGTGGGGCTCCTATACAACAGACATGTTTTTTTTTTGCAATTTTTATGGATAATGATACGGAACCCTTTGTGCGGTAGTCCGACTCGCACTTGACCGATTTTTATTTATATAATTAATGTAAAATGTTCTTGAGTGGTTAATACCACAGGAATTACAGTAGAGAAGTTAAAGGGGGGAGGGAGATAAGGCCTTACGCAATACTTGAGCCGCCCTTTGTAAACTATTTGTAAACTATATTGTCCTTTGTAAACTATATTGTATATCGAGTCTTTTGATGTAGAAACACGACCCAATATTGCTTGCTATAACCATAGGGACTGATGACGTCACAGTAATTTATTATTTGCAGGCGTGTAGTGCTGTTGTAAACTTCCGCGGTCCAACGGACAGCTGCGCCCGGGCCCCGGAGCTGTTGGCCAGATACTGCGACTGTTTGCTCAGGAAGAGGGGGGGAGGTGGTGGTATGCACTCTTGAATAATAAGTAAAAAGTCTGACAGACATACTGGTTGACTGTCATTTAAGTGGTAAAAAAGGTAGTACAATAACACAGACCAACAAAATTTGACAAAGTTTCTGACGAAGAATTTTGGTGCGCTAAATCCAAATTCGGCGGCCGGAGGGGAGGCCCTCGCGCTTCGGCTGTTTGATTAATTACATTGCAGTTTTTTTGGTATTTACTAAAAAAAAAATCGGGAAAATGTCCTGTCTACTCATTGTGATCTCATTTTTCATCATTTTTAACCAGAAAAATGGAAAAAAAGTTATGAATTTTTCTGTTGGTTTCTGTTTCTGAAGGTGGTTCAGGCGAGACGGACGTTGACGAGAAGCTGTCGGCTGCGATAGTGGTGTTTAAATATGTAGACGACAAGGACGTGTTCCAGAAGTACTACGCGAGAGCTCTCGCCAGAAGACTCATACACCAGCTGTCTGCCAGCATGGAACAGGTCTGTTTAATTCTATGTAGTTTGCTTTTAAAGTTCCTAATTCTTAAATATATAGGTGGAAAAGCCACAAATGGGCCGGCTGGACCGGAGTGATACCATGGGCTCACAGGAAATCGTTTGAGTGATCGTTTCTCTTGATCGTGTGTTTGAATGTTGTGCTATCGAACTTATAGACTATAAACTTATCATAATTTGTATATATAGAGTACCTGATGAAAGTAACTTATATGTATTCTTTAATAGACTCGAGAAACTTTTGATACATGTTTCGAAACTAAATTGCAAAAGTATTTTATTAGCAGGGGATTTTAATATAAATGTCTTAAAACGTAATAATATTACCCTGGATTTCGAATGTTTGTTATTGAATTATAATATTAGATTAGCATTGTATGAACCTACGCGACCAGCTAGTGGTAGCTGTCTAGACAACTTTGCACATAATTTTAAGCGAGGTTGGAAAACTGAAATTATAGAATTGGCCCTTTCAGACCATATGGCACAACTAATTAAACTACCAATTAAAAAAATATTGTTGTTAGAGACTTGGCATATACTCAAACGCGATTATAACCCTGAAAATATAAGTAAATTTAAAACTTGCATTAGAAGCTTAACGTTTTCCAATATCTATCATACCTGTGATCCAAATATAGCCTATAAATCTTTTATAGAAAATTTCAGGCTATTTTATGATTTGTGTTTCCCACTAAAAAAAATTACAATAAGAGTTAACAGAAAACCAAAATGGATATCGCGTGGGATTAAAATATGCAGTAAAAAAAAGAGGCATTTGCTGTGGAAATATAAATTGCATCCTACAAAGGAAAATAAATTAAAATATGTTAAATATTGTAAGGTTTTTAAAAGAATAATTAAATGTACAAAACTTGCCCAAAACTGTCACAAAATAAAAACTTCTACAAACATGTGTAAAGCGGCATGGCAAGTTATTAGCAAAATGAGACTAAATATACCAAAAGAAACAATTACGGACATAAAAATTCATAATAATAAATATATTCATAATCCGAAGGACATAGCTAATGCATTTAATGATTATTTTATTGAAAAAATCACCCCTATTGTAGGTGCTGGTCAAAATGTGACTAATTTAGTGAAAGAACGCCTTAACTCAATGTTCCTTACGCATTGCACACCCGTTCAAATTAATCAAATCATAAAAAAGTTAAAAAACACTAATAGTGTTGGATACGATGGTTTCTCTACTAAAATCATTAAGGCGGTTAATGAAACTATATGCCATCACTTAAGTTATATTGTAAATTTGTGTATTTCAACTGGTACATTTCCAGCAGACCTTAAACTGACAATAATTAAGCCTCTATTCAAGAAAGAAAATAAACAATTAATGGAAAACTATAGGCCTATAGCATTAATTTCTATATTCTCAAAGATAATTGAAAAATATCTTTATTACAAAATTAATGCGTACCTCGAAAAGTATGATATTCTGTGCAATGAACAAAAAGGCTTCCGACAAAATAAATCTATAGATATGGCTGTCTATGAATTTATTGAGAATATCATAACACAAATTGATAGGAAAACACCTACTTGTGCAATTTACTGTGATATGTCACAAGCGTTTGACTACGTTGATCATGGTATACTATTCAGTAAACTCAAAGCTTACGGAATAAGAGGCAATATTTTTGATTTGATCAAATCCTACTTGACAAATAGGCAACAGATAACTCAAATAACTAGAGTAAACCCTAAAACTAAAAATGAAGAAACGTACACCTCCATGAAGCGTTATGTTTCATATGGTGTTCCGCAGGGCAGTGTCCTTGGGCCACTTTTATTTATTATATATATCAATGACTTACCAAATGCAACGATTCAACCGATGACCCTATTCGCTGATGACAGTACGGTTACTATTTCATGCAAGGATATCAACAATTATGAACTTGACATTAATAACTCATTGACATCTATTATTTCATGGCTCACTAATAATAATTTAAAAATTAATTTGAATAAAACAAGTATAATGCATTTTAATCAGAGAATACAAAATCCGTTGCAAGTAAAATTAGTTTATGACAATTATACAGTAAAAGAAGTAACCAACGCTCGATTTCTTGGCCTCATTATAGATAGTAAATTAGCTTGGAAGGATCACATTGAAACATTAAGTAAAAGAATCAGCAGTCTATCATATGCCTTATTTAAACTTGCTCCAATAGTTACTACTGATGCACTTCTCTCAGCATATTATGGCCTTGTTGAGTCGGTTCTGAGATATGGCATTATTTTCTGGGCAAATTCGACTTGTAAAGATGTAATCTTTAAAATGCAAAAGCGATGCATTAGAGCCATGTTCGGAATCCAAAGTAGTGAAAGTTGTAATCCGCTTTTTAAAAAATACAAAATTCTCACACTACCGTCCCTATATATATTGGAGGTGGCTACCTTTGTAAAAAAAAATCCTCACTTATTTCCTAAGCTATCGGACCATGTAAGCCGTAATCGCCGCGACAATGATAGACTTTGTGTCCATCCAGCAAAAACAGCCCTGATGCATAAAAGTGTCGTATGTAAGGCGCCGTTGATATTTAACAAAATTCCCAAATATATTAAGATCTTGGACATGAATGAATTTAAGACGAAATTTAAAACATTATTAGCTGAAAATTGTTATTATAGACTAGAGGATTTCTTGAATGACAACACTTTATAACCATAATGATATAATGTATCATTGATGATTTTTTGTATGATTGATGGATTATTGATTGCAGTAAATATATTTATGTTGAATATTGAATGTTTTAGATTAAATAAATTAATGTAGACGGTTAATAGTTGATAATGTATACCTATAACCATGATATTCGAGTCCTTTCGTTGTAATTGTTTTTTCTTCTTTTTTTGATTTTTTTAAATGTTTTTAAACGATTTTATGTTACATGTAGAAAAATGCTATTGTTAAATTAATTTTATATTTGTACACCGGTAACGGTCAAACATGTCGATCAGGCAATATTACTTAACATCTTTAATGTACACATGTTTATGCAAATAAAATATCTTGTATCTTGTATCTTGAGTTACCTGAGCCTAAAATTCTCCACCCTCTGCCTGTCTGTTGTCCGTGTGGTGATTTTACAGAGTGTCTCCACCCCTATTCATCCCGTGGGTGTCGTAAGGGCCGACTAAGGGAGCAAACTACGCAGGACAACAGCACTGCAAATGGAAGGGGAACTTGAAACAAACCCTATTCCAACCCGTATGACCAGCGTGGTATAGTAGGCCAAGACCTTCTTTCTATAAAAGGATGTTGATGATTTAGCCTAGTTTTGAATTTTAAGGAACTAGACCCCATTTTTTCTTTGGTATTTGTCTCTTGAGTGCGTGCGATATAAGTTTTCAAGAAGTTTATAATAAAATAATTCTTATTGCCATTGAATTTTGTTCCTTACTAAATGTCAGAAAACATAATTTAAATAATTTGAGCTGAATCGGTGCAGAACTTTTTGAGTTTTTGAGCACTGTACAAGCAGGTTATTGTACGCAAGTTTTATCTTTTGTAATTTTCATTACCGTCACTAGATGGCGCTATTCAATTTGTGTACACTTCTGCATCGCGGTATTAAGATTTTCGGATTGTTTATTATAACCCTGCTTTGTGTTAATTTCAATATACTCGGTTGACACCGTAAATGGAATTTGGTTGTTTTCATCATCAATCATCAGCAGCCTTTAACGTGGTAAAAAGGGTACAGCAAGTGAATAACATAAAATATTTACTTTAGGCGCAGGTCACAAAGCAGTTTCACATCAACAGCCTTTAATAGTCCACTGCTGGACATAGGACTCTCCTTAGAAAGAAGGTTTTGGCCTACTATACCACGCTGGCCAGACGGGTTGGTATAAGGATTTGTTCAATAACAATTATTATTATTATGTTGCAGGAAGAGGCGATGATAAATCGTTTGAAGGCAGCGTGCGGCTACGAGTTCACGAACAAGCTGCACCGCATGTTCACGGACGTGGCGGTCTCCGCCGACCTCAACGCCAAGTTCCAGCAGCACCTGCGCGACACCAACGCCTCCACCACGCCCGGCTTCTCCATACAGGTAACCTTCCTCAATACATATGTATTTTCTCATCAGGTTTAGCCCCTTGTCCGTGTGGCGACAGATTAAGAATACTGAGTGTCACCTCCCCTGTTCATCCCATCGGTGTGATAAGAGCCGACTAAGGGAGCAAAACAACACTGCAAAAAGTAGGAAACCTTGACACCTACCCTATACCAACTCGTCTGGTCAGCGTGGTGTAGTAGGTAGTGGTGCAAGACCGCCTTTTTGTTAAAGGCTGTTGATGTTGATGATTTAGCCCATAGCCATCAAACTCATAGCCAAATCCATTTTTTTTTAGTTTACAAACAAACATGAAACGGACACAAAGAACACCCAGACTTAGAACTACAATTTGTGGATCACACAAAGTGTCGTCCCATGTAGGGTTTGAACAACACTCGGCGTAGTAGGAAACGGCATGGCGACCGCTTAAACCACTACGCCATCCAGTCAGTGCAGTCAAGTTTTAAGAATCTAGATCCCAATAATATTGTTTATCTGTGTTGAGCGCGTGTTACATAAGATTTCAAGAAGTTTATAATGGAATGATTCTGATTGCTGTTGATTTTTCTTCTTATTTTTAACGTTTATCGAAAAAACTTATGAGCAGTTTTTCCTACTACGGGGTACCCCAAGGCTCCAATTTAGGGCCAAAATTTTACTTGGCACTTAGTTGTACAATGTTGCTATGATTGTGTATTTATTAGGTGTTGCAAGCGGGTGCTTGGCCCCTGGGAGGTGCAATGGCGCCCCTGGCTCCCCCCCAACAGCTGGAGCGGCCGGCGCGACTGTTCGAAGCTTTTTACCGTGCCTCCTTCAGCGGTCGTCGCCTCGCCTGGCTACACCACCTCTGCACTGGCGAGCTTCGAACCAGATACACGCCTAGAGTAAGTACGGTGACGTTGGGGTGGACTGTTCAAAGGTTGCACTTCCTGCAGCGGACGAGTCTTTAGCTGGTTTTACATCGAGCCGAATAATTCTCTACTTGTCGCATGTGCTTTCGATCACTTGGAGTCTAGACGTTTCTTGTACAAAATTACACTCATAATTTTGTAACTGATTTACAAAAAGAAGAATCTTAACATGATGGTTTTTTTTTTCAGAATTCCGTCGTTTATGATTAGGAGTGTGACTTTCCGTTTGTTTCCGTTCAAATTTGACAAGAAAATACGAGTAGTGACTAACGTGGAAAATTAAAAAATGAAGAAATCAATTTATTTCAAATTAAATGCATCGGCGATACTTTTTTAAAGTAAATTATTTTGTCATATGATCAGGTGTGTCACCTGAGTGCGACGACACCACAATGCGCGCTGTTGCTGAGCTTCGAGACAGTGGACCAGTGGTCCGCGAGAGACCTTAGGGACGCGTTACAACTCGGTAAGGTCTTTTCCATTTGTCGTTCTAGGTTTGCATCATGAACGTAATTCTCTATAACGTATAATCTAAAGGATGGGATGGATTTTGATAATATAGTACCGCAATATTTATCTTGGCAATCTAAGCATTCGAGTCTGGGCGGATAAAAAAATAGAAAAGCTGATTTAAGCGCTATCTCGTGTTTCCAGAATCAGTATCCTTTAAAGATTAGTAGCATTTGTCTATAAGTATATTTAGTAGCTTCTTTTTGAATTGGTCCAGATTTATAATTTTTAGTATCTCAGTTAAATCGTTAAATATCTATTAGCCCGTAGAGAAAAAACTTTTATTCAGTAGAGTCGTTTTGCCAATGTGTGATTTCGAGTTTTAGCTTGTTTTTGTCCCTTAATTTCCTGTAATGGCTATTAAAAGCTATGTTTGTCTTCACGAATACAGAGACCAAATAAATATATAAAGATTTAAAAAGAAGATTGCTAAGTGTATGTAAGAGAGTAAGTGTACATGGATGGTGTGCAGGCGGCGACGCGTGGTGGCGCCACCTGCGGCCGCTGCTGGACGCGGCGCTGCTGCTGGCGGAGGGGGACGTGGGCGCGGGGGACGGGGGGGGAGAGCCCGCGCCCGACGCCACGCTGGCGCTCAACCTCGCCTTCAGCTGCAAGCGCACCAAGCTCAGGCTCACCTGCGCCAACGCGCCCAGCCACCAGGGTCAGTCACTCATGCGTACTACTGCGATATTGTAAAACAGGCCTAGGGCCTCATATACTACCTTGCGGTACACCTTCCACTGATAAAGATAGTAACATCACTCCATATATTCAATTTTTTTTTTTTACTGGATGTATATCTTCTCTTAAATCTGATATTCAAGTAGTACTACTTATAAAGTAGTAGTAAGTAGTAGTACTACTTATAAAGCCTCATGAAAGATATTTCTTGAATAGTCTCTAATTTCCATAGCAAGATATCATGTTTCCTTGGTCACACACAATAGTTAAGTCAAGATTTATTTTTAATTTTTTAGCTTTCCGTTACCTTTAGTAAAATTGCTTACACCGCTTTTTCACAGTAATCAAGTTTTTTTGTTGTTTTTTTTACCAAATAAGTCAGGTTAGAAAAACCAGAAACCCAAAAACTTTTATATCTAAACTCAATATATCAAAGTTATAAACATGTCGAAAGCATTTGACCGAATCGACTATAATTTTCTTTTAAAAGGTTGTAACTATTCTTGTACGAATCGAGTCAACATACCTCCGTAACGGACAACAATAAACTTTAAGAAAAGAAGTAAATCCAGACTAAATTAAATAATATTATACAAATGATCTGGGAACTGCTAAATTTGGAGTTCCACAGGGTATTATCGTGGGCCTTATACACACCGTGTTTATATTAATGATATACCTTGAATAAGAAAACATGTCATTACTGTGTTTGTGTGTTATTCCCACACAGATAGATTTTGATACATTTTGATGAAAAAAAAACATTCCTTAAGTAAAATTCGTATTAATACCATAATAGCTACAACATAATAATATTGAGTACACGTTCGAATGTGACAGGCGCGGCGACAGCGGGAGCGGGGGCGGGGGCGAACGCGGGGGCGGGGGCGGACAGCGGGGAGAGCGCCACGCACTGCGACGACGACCGCAAGATGTACCTCCAGGCTGCCATCGTCAGGATCATGAAGCAGAGGAAGGTAAGCGATTGACTCCACAGCTTCTACTCCAATTCTCTTCAGTTCCATTTACCAACTCTATAGCCTGGCGGCAGTTCATTCGACTCTGTTATGCAAATATTTATATGCAAGATGTTTTCTTTTGGAACCACTCCTCAAGTATTACGTGAGCAGGGTTTAAGTAGGTCATAGCCCCTTCTTCCCTTCTGTTAGGAAAAAGCTGCCTCATTTTCTATGTCATTAAAAGTGAACTAAGTAACCATCTCCCCCATCCCTTTGCATTAGTCGGGGTTTAAATGTATAATATACTAGCTGCACCCTGCCAGACTTCACTGTAACACATTGTGGTGGCAAAAAATAGATAAAAGCCATCCTTGTATGTTGTATAATGTGTGAAAATCAAGTCAATCAAATGTGTGAGCACAATTGATGCAGAGCTTTTTGAGTTTTTGAAGCGTACACAAACCAAATCAATATTTATATAAATATAGATAAGTACGCCTTTATGCATCTAAGTATGTTCTAGAACTGACAGTGCAAACTGTCCCTAATTAGGGTCCAAATTTGTCTGAACTACTATGGTTACAGCTCCTGACTGCAAAGGATGTTGGTCGTGTGTTCGATTCCCACGCAGGATAAATGATTGTGCAGCGAGCATTTGTCCTGTGTCGGGGTGTAATTTATCTATAACATGTCATCGTCATCAACAGCCTATAATAGTCCACTGCTTTACATAGGCCTCTCCTTAGAAAGGAGGTTTTGGCCTACTACCAACATTCAATCAACAGTCCTGTTATCATAGTACAGGCTCTGCCTACGACTGTCTTTGAGAACTGTTTAGTTATAATAATCATTGTACTGATATCAGGATATATTTTTATAACTATATGTTATGTCCCTTTTACCTCCACAGGTGCTCAGACATACAGAATTAATTCAGGAAGTGGTGTCTCAAGCTCGCGGCTCGTTCGCGCCCTCTGTCGCCATGATTAAGAAATGTATCGAGGCGTTGATAGACAAACAGTACCTGGAGCGAGCGCCCGCCGCCCTCGACACGTACAGCTACCTCGCGTAGTCACACACAAACACATACACACGACACGCGTCACGTGACCGGCGTGTGACGTGTCGAGTCGTGTCGTGTCGACCCACTCACTGATATCCATTTTGTAGATAGATTTCACTATGTCGATGCTGTATCTCTTTCTAAGAGAGATCTTGTATTTTTTGACCAATTTAAAAATGTTCTCAATTCGTTTGATTTGTTTTTGTGTGATTTCAATATTTTTTTTATTGAATTAGTTAGTCCTAAAATTGTTGCAGTTTTTTTTATGGCATTTTTTGACCAATTTTAAAATGTTCTCAATGCTTTTGATTTTTTTGTGTGTGATTCCAATATATTTTTATTGAATTAGACAGTCCTAAAATTGTCCCAGTTTTATTAGGAAGAATACCAACAAAAAACCTGACATTTTAAAATTATTTTATTAAAAAAAAACGTAAATTACAATAGTTAACTATATACGAAGCACATACATAAATATACTCACGCCTATTACCTCGATAAGGTAGGTAGAGGCTAATTAAACGGCCACATTTTTTTCAACTAAAGTGATCACCCCACTCCTGGAAACTAATAGGGAAATTGGGAGAATATTAATAAAATATTGCTGGTACGGATGGACTGTGAAGTCGGTTCGCATAACTGTATTTCGAACTTGTTATAACCATATTAGGGTATTATCTAAATGTATATTACTAACGATTTAGACGCATCGAAGTGAGCAATACCGTTATCTGCCTTTATTTAAGGAGTAGGTCAATTAATAACGCTAATAATATTATAGAACGGATAGCAATGGTGTGTCGACACGACGTTGGTCACATAACATGTGGTTTTGGGTCACGTAACTATCGATTTATGTACTTACACTGTTAGTTCGTCACTCGACACGTGGCGGTTTGGTCACATGGGATTTCGTCACAATACGTGTAATACTTGATAATAAAGTTGAAGTTTGTATATTTATATTTCGTCATACTGTACGCACTATGGACATACTAAGAATTTAATATTAGTGAAATAAGTAAGTATTACATGTGTCGTGACGTAGGGGGCTACCAACAAAGAACGTCACATGAAATAAATATCGCTGGTCACTTTAATTATAAATACTGTAAAGTCACATACTTTGCATTTTTACAACCTTAACGAAATAAACGCAAACAGTTGTTCTTAAATTATTAATTGTAAAATATTAAATTTACACTTGATATTTTTTTGTCATTTCCTTTTTTACTTGTATTTCCTTTACAGTTAATAGTTTGCTTTTTTATGTGTGACGTCACAAAGCTTATGACCCTTTACATCCATTGTCACAATCAGCCGATGCTCTTATCCCCCTCGCCATACACCTTTGACGTTATTTATGGCTAACCCTTACTTTACATGTGCTGTGACATGAATTACTCGTGTCGTGACCTACACTACATGTGTCGTGCCTACGTAGTTTGTGACAAGTCACATGTCGCTGATGTGTGCTTTACTTGTGTGTGTCGTCTTCCGAATAAATGGTAAACGAACGAATGCTTGCAATAAATTTTGATTTATTTATTTACGAGTTTTATATATTTGAATACGAACAGTGTAGATAAAATAAGCTGTTGTCGCGGGCATGCACAGTATGGTATTTGGCTTACTTTTAGAGTTTCACCGAGTTAGTGGGGGGGGGCAAAGAGCGGCATCGCACTTTGAGACTCGTTGAGTTGCAGGCGTCCATGGGGTAGTTATACTTTTCCTGTTTGCTTCAACAGCCTTTAATAGTCCACTCCTTTACATAGGCCTCTCCTTTGAAAGGAGGTTTTGGCCTTGCTGTTGTCCTGCGTAGTTTGCTGCCTTAGTCGGGTCTTACGACACCCACGGGATAAATAGGGTAACACTCAATAATTGTGTGATGAGCACGGTCATTTGTTGTATGTCTGGTATTTATCCACAATATATATTTAAAAACATATAAGTATGTTTATCAGCAGTCTGGTTACCATAGTACAGGCTCTGTCTAGTTTGGGATCACACGGCCGTGTGTGAGGTGCGTTAAATTATTATTATTGCAAAAAAGGTAGGTCTGCAGTAGTACTACAAATTCGTGTAATAGGGACCGACTTCCAAGCCACGAACGAGCGCGTTTCGACTATTCAGTTCTGCGCAGGCGTAGACTGCTCCGCCAATTGTCAGTTTTTGACACGACACGAAGGGATGTTTTGAGTGACAGACGTTTCGCTCATGGAAACGCGGATTGATTGACTGGATTTGTTTTTATAAAAATTTTAGGACACCTATCGTTTTGGCCCAGCTTTTTATTGACTTCAGCTATAATTTTCGCTGCAGCATCAGCGGCTGTTGCTGCAACAGCAAACTAGTTCATATTTGCCAAGAGCCGCGAGCACATTGCGGAAAACTACGTTCGAGGAAAGTGATCGCTGTAGACACTTGAAGCCCAGAACAGCTCCGCTCGTGCTCGGTTCACCTAACGTATACCCACCATAACAATTTCGTTGTCCAAAAGGTTAAAAGTAAGCCAAGGATAGGAATATATAGAGACCCCCACACAAGTAAAGCCACCATCTTGTAAACATATTTTATTGTAAAAGTATTAACTTACAAGCACTTCTAGAATTTTCGTAAACCTTTGTACAGATAAATTAATAAACCCATCTTGTCACAAATGAAAGTTCGTGTCGCTTGTCAGTTACGACCTTTACAATACGAAGATATGTTGTGTTCTCCCTTGATTCACACAAAACAAGGCTACCGTACATGTTTAAACCAAGAACTCGATTATATATATGTTATAGAAGGAATAAAACATGGAATTGGAAATAAATATTGTAACAAAATGTATAATGTCTGGTTATTTTTCCCAAAAACATTAATATATTTAATTAAAACTGATACCTAAATCTATGGTATCCAATATGTATTTGGACTTGTCACGGTAATAGTCTACACAATAACAATTCAAGTAAGGAACCTCGCGCACTAGACGATCACGACCACGACGAGATTAACCTGGAGAAACCGTACGCGCACTTGGCCGCAACGGTCAACTGGCCGCACACCTCGCCGGCACGACAGGTCGTTACGAACAACACCCGTATAGCTTGCTATATCCATTATTCCGCAACTGAATACAACGGCTTCTCCACATCAACGTTCATCAACAACGCGTTTGTGACCCCCGAGTTGCAGGCGTTTATGGGCAGCGGTAATCACTTTCCAGCAGCTGACCCGTCTGCTCGTGTACCCCCTCTTCCATAAAAAAAATAATAATAATCAAGTACAGATCTCAGAACAACAACTGAAGCGGTTCCATAATGGCCGCTTTACGACAAGTCGTGGCCGTGACCCAACCGTAACTTCTTGGCCAAAGTTTACGGTCACGCCCACGACTAGTCGCAGTCGTGACCGTCTAGTGCGCGAGGTGCCTTATACCGATGACATTCAAAATGGTCGGCGTACGACGGCCAGGCCATCTGTAAGTAGTAAAAGAAAACCACAAAAATATTAATTTTCAAATATATTTCAGTAATCAAAATATAATAATAGGCTTACATTATTAGTTACAAGTCGTATTTGTGGCCAAATTGAAATAAAACGAACGCCACAAAACAAATATGAAACGCATCTATACATTACATATAAATTCAAACTGGTATCACAAACAAAATGGCTGAAAGAAAAAAGATTATTTACACGCAGTAAGAAGTCCAATAGAGTATTATATTTTATACATAAACAATTAATGTGCATATTCACATGGTGAAGAATTTAGCTTAAATATAATAAATTAAACAAATAAAGCCCTTATAACTAAGTGAATTTAATTTTTTTAACATTATAGTGCATTTAACACGTTTCTCTTAAATAATATTTTCTTTAAAAACCGTTTTGATTTTCGTTAAAAAATGATCATAGATAACGCTTTGTTTTTTCTATTACCTATTTATTATCTTCTGTAAACCGTTTTAATAAATTAATATTCTCGTTCTGTACTTTTAAAAAATGCGTTTATATTTAGGTCGTTTACACACTGGCGATTAGTCGCGAAAGTTTTGTGTATTTGACAGTATATTTATCACATCTTTCGATGAATTTAAGATATTAATAAAAAGATTTTTTTTCATATTAGTTAACTACACGATCAAAACTTAGAAGACTGCATCGCCACCGTCAACATTTTGATCAATTATCCAGCTACAATTATATACAATAGTCTTTTGGGCTACATATTTATGTATTTCTTTATAAAATAATATTTAGGCAAGCAATGTCATACTTAGATAGGACATTTATCACAAATAAACCTTTTGAGTCCAACTAAAAGCATACAGGAACTTGATAATATTTACATTCATTATAAATTAGATCCGACACATACAGGTAGACTTTGCGACAAAATAATCGCAGACGTGTTTGCAACTCTATGAGGGAAAGTCGCAGGTTTTAAAAATTACCCCCCTGGATTTGTTGTAAAGCCTATCTGAACATCGGGTGTACCACAGTTTTTAAGATAATTTATCACATAATTTAAATAAAATAAAAATTTCGTATGAGCACATCTATATTTATATAACTACTGTTGGTCGTTATTGATTTGGGTTAGCATCGAAAGCAGAAAATAATATTTAAAATTAAGTAATAGAAACTAAGCCGCCTTGTGTAGGGTATAGCTACCGGTAAACATAACTCTAAAGGGTATATAAAAATAACTAAAAAAATTATATGCTTTTTCACTGGTAATATGGTTTTACAATAAATATGGAATTTTTAAAAATCTCAACGAATATAAACTGGGAAACGTTAACTGTGAGAAGGGTACCTAATCCCATATGTGATGTTCTCCATTTTAAGCGGTAAGATGATTATTTTTACAATTTTAATAATAATCCTTTATGTTTATTCGCTGTATGTTTCGCACATCATCAGTTTTATACCATACAGGATCTAAGGGACAGGCTGTCGAACTTCTTTTGGTGAACTCTTTTAACGAGTGTCAAGTAACTCAGATACGTGATGGTAACGGTTACAGGTTTATATTACATCTTTTGTGACCTTTTTAAAATAAAATGACTACACAATATCGATAAGAAATGCTTCGGAATGTATTGGCATAAACGTATTGATTTAGTTTTCGAAATTACTATCATTGACCTATGTATATGTGCGTTGTGCGAATAGAGGGTAGATTGTTAAACTTTGACAGTTCACAAAATGACAGTTAAATTCAAAATGTTTTGACTTGTGTTAGTATGAAAATTTGACGGCCCCAAATAATAAAAAAAAAACATTAAAAATATGAGTTATAAAGATAATAAAAGAAAAAATATGAGTTATAAGATTGTACGGAATATGAGCTTACTTTTTTCAATTAACTAATGTGTTCTCTTTAGGCGTTTAGTATTTAGCCTGAAATTACTACTATAATATTTAAATATTAGTCAATTCAGTAACACAGTTTATTTTTTTAAGTTAAGACTCTTATTCCGTACGGTACAGTGCGACAAAGATCTCATATTATTTTGATGACATTTAAAAGCTTTAGTTATTAGATACGCCACATGAAACGCCAACTATATTGAGACATTTGAATATATTTCTCTAAAAAATCCTTGTAACATCACATCAACAGCCTTTAATAGTCCACTGCTGGACATAAGCCTCTCCTTAGAAAGGAGGTTTTGGCCTACTATACCACGCTGGCCAGACGGGTTGGTATAGGGTTTGTGTCAAGTTTTCCTTCTCTCTGCAGTGCTGTTGTTCTGCGTAGTTTCCCTTAGTCGGCTCTTACAACACCCACGGGATGAATAGGGGAGGTGACACTCTGTATTCTTAATCCTTGTAACATTAGGTTGTTATTTTAGTTTGATTTATTACAAAAAAATAACTATACGAATTAAAAGACACTGATTATTCCAACTGTCAAAAGGTATTCACAAGAGTAGCACGTTCAAACTGTTCAAATTTTAGCTGCCAGAGAAAATCACAAAGCGTTTTGGACCAAAGTGTAGAGTCGACGACTCTTTAGTATACAGCCCGTGGGCTTGATTAAATAAAATCATAATTGTTTTGAAATATTCAAGTTATGACAGCTTATCTTCAAATGTCAATCAAGTAATTATAATCATTGTCGCACTGTAGTTATTCCTAGAAAAAAAAAAGTTTATTTTTTTAAATGGACGTATTGTTAAACAAATAAACTGCCTCAGCAAAAGTTTTTAACTACATTTTAGTCTATCTAAATGTTTAGTCTTAGCATACGTACAATGTATACGTTTCAAAGCGTTTTTACTATACCAGTATAATATATTGTACAAATATTTCTACGCCATATTTATGAAAAAAACCAGATCCTAACCCCGCTACAATGTTGTCGCGCGATTTTTTTGAGCAATATTTTTAAGTTTACTTTAGACTACACGCCAAAATAATTCAGAAGAGATTTATTACGCGTGTAACCGTAGCGGTTGGTCGCAGGCGCTTGCGACTTTAGCTTGCCAGCTTCAAAAACAGCTTTATATAATCTATCGAACATAAATTAAGACTAATAATCGTGCGACTAGGCGCGATAACATCGACAAAAATTCTTTTCACCAATATGGCGCAGATAATTATTAATAGCTAAGTATGTTTAAAAAATAAAAAAATATCAAAACTCTCTTATAGCAATCGAAATAGATTGGTTTTCTGAACAGTGTTGCCATTAGCTAGATCAAAATATGAAAAATATATGACATCAGGATTACGTCACAATTATCATATTATTTACTGGCATCATTACTGTATAAAAAGGTCGTATGTCTATCTGATTTGCTTCGAGAATATATACCATGATAAAATTACATAAGTAACATTATTTAAAAATCGTCATAATATTATCTGTCTGTAATTCGCCAACTCTTTATACCATTTCTTTATATATACAATATTGATCACGTTGTCTTCGTTTCATTTTAACATTGTTTAGTTCAATACTAGCCTATCGTTAATAAAATACAAATTACTTCACAAAACAAGCAAAAAAAAAACATTTTTTTTACAAAAAGTAATAAAATTAACAACCAAAAGACTATCAAAAATTTTATGAAATAATTTGTATTTTCGTATGGCAACATCGTTTGTAGTTCGTATTCTGTGTTGCCAGTTTATAATAGCGATTTCTACTAACAGCTGCCGATGCCGCGGATCTTTGACCGCCGGTATATTGTTTTGCTACAACTTACACATAACCACAACTAAAAGCAATACTGACGGTTCATAAACAGACATTAACTTGCGTCGTATTTTGGTGAAAACGTTTCGTTTTAAATTTTATGTTTCGTTTCGTTTTAGTCATCATTCTGTATGGACATACGTTTAAAGTATTTTTTTTTTCAACAGAGCTAATAAAAGAAACCTTGCAAAATTTCTTTGTCGACTTCATAAAGAAAAGAGTAATGAATACTGGTCACATTCATTTACGAGAGTAGCTACTCAGTGATATTCTATTTTCAAATGAATTTCTATTTTTGAAAAATGATAAATTGGATGATAAGATACAGCAAATATTCATAGAAGGAAGGTTTCACCTCTCAGCGGCAGCGTGTGTGTTGTGAGGGGTGCGCGGGGTGTGCGGGGTGCGCGGGGCGGGCGGGGCGCGCTCAGGGCGCGCGCCATCAGCTGCGCGCGAGCAGCGCCGCCAGCGCCAGCAGCGCCGCGCCGCCCGGCGCCAGCGCCGCCGCCGCGCTGTACTTGCTGCTCTGCTCGCACGTACCTGCGCACGCGCACCGTCAGAACCGTTCTCGCACTCGCTCCACCGAGCTCCGCTGTGTGTACTCACCGTTCAGTGTTAGGTTGTACGCTTTGTCCCCGGCCACGCCGGGCGTCACGCTGCGGTCGCAGGAGCGGGACACCACCGACACCGACAGGTACCGCGCTTGACCGCCCGACGAATCTGTTCGGCACGGGGGCGACGTGTTAATCGAAACTAGATCAAAATTCCGACGATCGAGAGTTCTTAATTCTTCTTTTCCGAGAATTAAACGTTGAAATTGATCACGGTAAACTTAATATTTAAAATACGATAGACGACGTAGGACAAATATTTCAAATTAAAATTTTATAAACCATCTATAAAATCTATAATTTTTTTTATGTTAGTTACGATGGATATAGCCATTTAAAAATCAAAATTAACGAACATAAAGTCTGTACGTTATTCTTTAAGAGAGCACCTGAAAAATTAATAATGACAAAATACCTACTATATTCATCTAATGATGAGTTTCGACGAAAAATAAACTTACCGTTGACATAAGTGTAGATGAAGCAGAGTGCATGGGGTCGACTCTGCGATCGAGTAGAGGCCGGGGCCGCCACCACCATGTGCCGGGAACCTTCTTGCCAGCTACCGTAGCACGTGTACACTAAAAGAATAACAAATCCAATATTAACACTAATATTTCCATGTATGATTCTTGTCAATGAAGTCCATGTTGACGACAGCAAAGGGTTCGATCGAATCAACCATTGTTTTCTTTTCAGATAGATATTTCATATCGGCCTATTTGTATTTCTTTATTAATAGGTTCGACTTTACGATCCAAAAATTTAACATAAATAATTGTTTTTAGTGGTTATGCATCAACACAGTTTTAAATTTCTTGTGGAATTTCACAGGGACACACATTGGCTCCAGCAGGGTCTAGTTTGAATAAATGATTAAATTCTTACTTTTCTTTCAGAAACTCATAATTTACATAAATATAAATCCAGTTATTACAACATACAAAGCGGTAGCCTGGTGGTTAAGGCATTGGACTTGCGATCAAGAGCTCGTGGGTTCAAATCCTGATCAGTACACTACAGAAGTGAACCCACTCCTAATACCAGCAAGCTAACTTAGCTGGAGGGGTTAACGGGAATACTAGTAATTACGGTTGCTAGTAAAACATTCAGTTTTTTTATAGAAACCTGCAACATATGGTCTGGTTTATTATTATAATAGTTATTGGTCGGCATTTTTGTATGACATGATAATTGATCCAAATATATTTTGTCTAAATACATAAACCAGACAATCTTAGTGCTTTAATAAAACTAGAATATACTTTCTAGATATACATTTTAAGTAACTAAAACCTGCATAAAATAAATTAAATAAAAAATAAATTAAAAATTAAAGTTAAATTGCAAATAATATTACTTACCTGTGCTGGTGCAAGCTGACCGGAACTCTATAGCGTCCTGAGAGGCTCCGCAGCCGATACTGGCGCTGTCATACTGTCCCATCACACATTCTGGGGGTTTTGCAGCTGTGTCCTCTAGACCTGTTTCGTCTGATGATGTAAAAATATTTTAAATAAGAACCTGTGTATTTGCGCTTTATTGGACATCTCTGATTATAGTTATCATCATTATCACCTTTGTCTTGCCCTACTTATATTTTTATTTGGTGTCAGCTCATTGTACAATATCGTAAAAGTTTTTAACTGATTTCTTTCATGGCCGGTCATCTGCCTGAAGCCCAATCGTCTTTGGGGATGTAATTTCAGACGAGACAAAGGATAAGGGTAATTAAAGTTAAGGTGGGTCTCATAGGAGTAATAACTCGAGGCCGTGGTTGTGGACCACTGTGTTAGTCCTGTAATTGGAGAGATCACAAAAACACAAATTACATATTGATTGTTGAAAACGACTCTACTTGGGATAGTCTTTTTCAAGGACCTGACGCAGAAAGGACTACTTACCATTTCCATTAAAATTACACAATCATCTTTGTTAAACGGCAGAGACAGATATGAAAAGGTTTATATTTCGATGGAACAGATGTGTTAGAACGTTACCTATAGTGAGTTGTTGTCGTCTCCGGCGTCTGTCGGCCAGAGACTCGACCACCGTGTAGCGTCCCAGCATTGGACACTGGGACGGAGACAGTTGAGTAGCTGGAAACGTAGAAATTTATTATGTATGGATTCATAGGCAAGTACGAGACTATTTTTTTACTTAAGATTATTTCGGGTTAGGAGTATAAGATAAATTTAGTGCAAGATATAATTATATCATCAAAAATTAAGTAGACCGATATGCAGAAGAATTCTTTGTGGATTCCATTACGATCGTCTTCATTGATGTTCCTTAAATCATTCAGAATCAATTTAGTAATCTAAAATTATTTACCGGTAAATGACTGCTTGCATTTTCGGAGGAAATGGGGCGGTCGGAAATACCAGTTTATGTAAAGATTGATGAACCGTTTTCAGTATTTGTGAGGTGCGGCGAGAATACTCACAAATGAGCGTGACGTGCGGCGTGTTGGGCAGGTCGGGCGCGCACGCGGCCTGCGGCGCGCCCGTGAGCGCGGCGCCGAGCTGCAGCTCCAGCACGCCGCCGCCGCGACGCGACACGCGCACGCACACGTGACCAGACTCGCTGTAACACACACACAAATCGTGCATGGACATGTATATTAACAGGCATTTATGGATTTACTTTAGTGCCTCCGAGCCTTTTCCCGAACTAGGTCGGGGTCGGCTTTAAGTCTATAACACACCCCGAATACTAGGCGATATCAAAGTTTTGTGGAAATACTGTTGTTGGACTTTTTAGGGCTCCGTAACGATTGTATAGTAACCGGGATCGACGGCGTGACGTGCTCTCCGAAGCAAGGCATTTTTGGATTTACTCAAAATAAATTTTAATTATAAACAATCTAAATCTTTTAGAAACAGCATTTAAAAACTTTTGATCAACAGAAATCATACAATACACTAATTGACTTCATTAGTGTACAACTTTACTTTACGAATAACTTTTAGAATTTCCATTTTCTCTTTGATCGCTCAAAGACGTTTGACTACACGTAACACAATAAAGTTATTTGTAAAATCAAATTAATAGTATTAAGAGCAAGACAATAGCTAATAACTTAACTTTACTATTGTAATTAGTCCATATTACGTCAATCTAATGAATCGAATGACTAACTGATGATAATAAGTCATGGTGTACTGCAAGGTTCTAATTTAGGTCTCCAACTATTTATAATTAACAGAAATTATTTATGACACTTTGATATCATCAGCCTATCGCCGTCGACTGCTGACGTTTCTTGGAGGAGGCTACATTGTTGTAAAATACTGACATAGCAACACCAATGCACGTAAAAAAATCCTTTAAAAGTTATCTTAAGGGACCAATTCTTAATGCTACAAACTCTTGAAAAAATACTTCCACAGATACAGTTGGTTTTCTTTAATCTCAAGATACATGGTTTATAACTCATGTTCTAGACTTTCATTCATCAATCATTATCAACAGCCTTTAATGGTCCACTGCTGGACATTGGCCTCTCCTTAGAAAGGAGGTTTTGGACTACTATACCACGCTGGCCAGACGGGTTGGTATTAAGAAGGCTATAGAAGTATTAAGGTATGTGTTTGAAATGGTATCTCACCATCCTCTTGTAAGATGTGCGACGAGTTTCACGTATTTCTTCTCTTTCTGCTCAAGTATTGAGTGACAGACTATCCGCTTCTCTTCGCGGGTACCGTCTTCTTTCTCTATCTGTAATAGTAGAGAAGTTATTTAAAGTGTAGATCGCCTATCTGTACAAAAAAAATCAAATTGAAGTGTTTGTTTGCAATATCAAAATAATAGGTTTTTTCATGCTCACGCCGTTATGCCTAAAAACCAGTTTAAATATTTTTTGTTCGTTTGTCTGTCTTTCTATTTGTTGCGTTGTAATCTTCAAAACGGGTGGACCCATTTTGATAATATTTTACTACCAGGTACCTGTCTATACAAGGAGTGACTTAGGCTATTTTTGCTCTCAGAAAAACCCTATAAAATCGGGAATCGAACCCGCGGCCTCATGGAATGTTCTACACCACTAAGGCAGCGTATTGTATAAAAAAGAATGTTTGACTAAAGGTTTCATTCATTTTCATTTGTATGACTAAAGGTTTAAATGTGGAAATAACATTGCCAAAAAAAGAAATATACCCATGCTGTGGCACATATGTGCTAGCTCAACCGGTATGATATCATGCAAGCGATCACCGGAGGCTCTACTGCCTTATCCCCCAAGCTAAGGGGCGGAGGTCACCGTCCGTGTGAAAGAATGTGATTAAGAAACTTCCAGAAAACAACTATGTAGGTATTCGGATAGGGCCGAATACTTGGCGATATCCTAACGTTGCTTTATGTGCGTAGCAATCAAACGCCTTACTCAAATCACATACCTTGAGCGTGGCATTCTTGGTAGTGAAGTGGTATTGGTGGGTATGGTCCAAACTGTACCACTTGTGGTGTTCCACGATCCAGTTGGGGAAATGGCATCGGTTGTGTTCGTCATCGACTAGAAAAAAATACAATAAAGTTTACCATTAGGGTGGTACACTACGTACTACACTAGTAGTGATTCCTGGAGGTGGGATTTATTTTTGGTGTACTCATTTTTACCAATGTAAGTATGCAACATGTAAACTGCAACATCAAAAAATAGATATAGTAAAAAAAAAACGAGTGTGCTTTAAACTGAAGTAAAACTTCTTGGCTATGAGAGAAATGGAGAAAGAAGATGTGTGCTCGCACCTCTCACTCTCTCTTGCCCTGTAAAGTAATATACGAAACGTAACTCTCTCTCTTTCTATCTTCAGTAACTTATATCGCCCTCTCAACTCTCGTTCGCCTCGCCCGATCACACTTTTCGTAACGCTCTCGTCACGCATTCACCAGCTTACTCCCCAAGTCCCCAAAGAATTTTTACTTCAAAAACATTGTTTGACGGCCGGATGGCGTGGTGCTTTGTGTAACGGTCTGTTACGCCAAGGTCACGAGCTCAAAACCCGCCTAAGTCAAACATTTGTGTGCATTAACATTTAATGTTTGATTTGGTCCGGGTGTTTGTATCATATGTATGTATTTACAAAAAATAAGTATATACATGTATTTATATTAGCGGGCCCCTCTTTCCCGATGGGCACTCTGGGCACGTGCCCAGGGCCCCTCGATCGATTAGGGCCCGATTCCTGCCAGATCACCAATCGAAAATGAATATTTATTACCGAAAAAACATATTTATTTTGATAAATCCATTTGTAACTACAATACTTTTTTTGTCTATTCTAACAAAATAGTGCTCAGCTAAGTTCGTAGAGGCCCCATTAGCTAATATGCCCAGGGCCTCCAACAGGTTATAAATACATATCTGGAATATACTAACTATTGGTAAGTTTCATGGTGCGACTGCCGTCTACCGAGGAGGTGAGTCCATTGCACGTGGCGTCTCCCGACTGAGCGATGCTGTACGTTACCGTCTTGTCTGCGTGACTGCCTTTGTAAACGAAGCATCTACACAAGAAAAAATATATTTAAGTAATTCACATCATCACATCAACAGCCTATAATAGGCCTTGCCTTAGAAAGGAGGTTTTGGCCTCTATACCACGCTGGTCAGACGGGTATAGGGTTTGTGTCCAGTTTTCCTTCTTTTTGCATTGCTGATGTCCTGCGTTGTTTTGCGCCCTTAGTCGGCTCTTACGACACCCACGGGATAAATTGACACATTGAAGTAATTATTACACCAAAAAACTATCAACAAGAATTACAGAAGTAGTTACTTCCTGTGGATATAACAACACAAATTTTGAACTCCGGTATTCCTTAAGTAGCGGCATTACCGGTATTTTTAAAAATAACTTTTCAAATATCTGTATTTTTTAAAAATAAATTTTGAACATCTCTATCTTTTACCGGTATTGTAAGTTATTTTTAAATACCGGTATACAAATATAATTCGATCAACAGTTTAAAAGATTGTTAGATAAAATTAAAGTTATTACCGTTATTATTTTAGTAAATTTAGTTGAATGTGCTGTGTGTGTGTGTGTGTGATAAATTTACACGAACCTATACATATCTTCGTCAGTGGATATGGAATTCCTCCTCTGCACCTGTGAGATGAGGCCCACGAGGTACCTGGTGGAGCCTTCTTTCCAAGTAGCTAAGCAAATTAGCTCCTCAACTGAAAATAAGAGGCAAATATGATAATGTAAAAGTAAAGTTAAGGAGAACATCGCTTTCCGCAGACAATCCTTCTTGGTAAACGACAGTGAAACACAACACTAAAACACACCAAGCCATAATGATTTCATGAAATCGCCTAGCCATCACTTGTGCAACCGAGTTCAAGCACTCACTGTCCCTTGAACATACATTTATCGATCAAAGGTTAGTTGGAGATAGGTAGAGTGTGAGATAAAGTGGCATAGATTAGGTGGTCCATTTCAACACCCCTTAGCGCTGTTTAGATGTAGACTTCGTGGTGTTGCTGCGGCCGGCCTCGACTGGACTAGGAACCTCGCTCCGCAAGTTCCACAGTGGCATCCGGTTCCGGTCATATTCTTATTTTCTCCTCTTCGGTGATCGGGTGGAATTTTGTATTAATTTTATTTAAAAGGATTTACTTAATTCTTAATTCATCAACTTTGGAAAATGGAAAGGAATGGAAAGTGACTACCGCCGCCCATGAACGCCTGCAACTCAACAGTCACAAGTACTTTGCCGGCCTTGCTGTGGGAGTACGCTCTTTTCTTGAAGGTTTGAAGGTCGTACTGGTCCGGAAAGACCGCTGACGATAACTTGTGCCACAGATTGGTTGTGCGAGGCAAAGTGGTGGGGAGTCTTTAATCGTCCTAAGCCGGGATTACTTAAATAGTTTCATAGGTTCCTTGGAAAATCACCATGATGCTAGGTACTAAGTGTAGCAGTATGCCTACCATTGCTTTCAGTGCTAGGCACGTCAGGACACGCCATGTACCGCAGCAACAGTCGCGAGTCGTCTGTGCACGACTCCGCACGGGACGGAGGATTGACGCAGTCGCCTGATCCGCTGAAACAGTAACGCTTATAACTTTAATATTTCGTACATCTCACACACGGCCGTCTGATTCCAAACTAGACAGAGTCAGTAACCAGCAGTCCGGTACTGCTGATAAACATACTTCTACATTTCTAAGTACATATATAGTTATAGATAAAGGTAACAATAACTATAGTAACGGTTTCTTACAATATAACTTTTACGTATTATTTACAAGAAAGACATAATGCCTAGGAGATTGGGATACTATGAGACAACAATAATTTAAGGAGAACTGGGACTATCGGCTTACGTCGCTGTCACGCCCCATCCGCTGTCTGCCCCAACCTTAAACATTTCTTGTGAATATCCTACTGACAGTTAATGAATTGATTTGCGAATAAAGGAGTGTTTTTTTTTTGGAACGAAGTTCCTTATCGCGCGTTGTGAAAGGGGGCTAGACGGAAAAAAATCTCACGAAAAGTTGTAACGACACTTTTTATTTTGAATTGTCACTTGTCAGTCATTCAGCGCCATCTATAAATGTATAAATTGTTTTAATTAGAAACCAACTGAAAAATATGTAGGTAATAGCCGCTTTCATAGTTGGCGTTGTAATTAAAATCGTGTTGAAACAGTTTTACTCGATCGTCACAACTTCGTTCCTATCGGGTGTCCCACGACACCACACGGCTTTTTTTTTCGATACATATGTGGGTAATTCTTTTGAATGGTGGTTATCTCCCTCCTTTAGTTAATATTTTAGAAGCTTAGTATGAAAGCAAGAGCAAAGAAGAAGGGGTGGCTACTTGGGTTCTTGAGGTCTGATGGCAGTCGCTCCATGTAAAAAACCGAAGTTCAGTTCAGCTGTAGTTACCAACCTAGTTTAGGAAAGGCTCGGAGGATGATGAGCTAGCTAGAGCAGTCAGATTTAGTGGTTACATTCGGGCTATTAGAATCTGAATTATTTGCAAACTTACCGGCTATACGTGAAGGTGAACGGAGCTGGATGGAACGGACACTGCTGAGGTTCAGGCCTCGGGTCCTTCTTGAACATGGAGTACAGCGCCGCGTCCCCAGTAATGGATTCGCACATTGTGGACAGCGAGTCTCGCTGGCCGCAGTACGCTGGAAGAATCGAGTTCAATGTTATTTTTTTATGCCATAGATGGGCAAAAGATCAGACGGGTCATCTGATAGTAAGTAACTACCGCCGCCCATGGACATCTGTAAGTCAAGAGTCACAAGTGTGTTTGCCCCTCCTACCGGAATCAGGGGGAGGGAGGTTTGAGCTCTCCCCCCCCCCCACCGGTATCAGGGGGGTTTGTGCTCCACGCCTCACCGGAATCAGGAGGGTGGAGCTCCTCCTCCTCCCCCCCCCCGGAATCAGGGGAGGAGGTTTAAGCTTGATGGCACAAATGTCATTAAAGGTATTTTTGTAATAAAGTATTACTTGTCTGTCTGTCTCTATTTATCTGCCTGTTACCTCTTCACCGCTAACAAGTTTAGATGAAATTTAGTATAGAGATAGTTCGAGTCTCGGGAAAGGACATGGGATAGTTCTTATCCCAGAAATCATCCTTTAAGGGAGTGAAAAGTGGGATGGATGTTTGTATTAGATATCAATAACCGCTGAACCGATTTAGGTGAAATAGATTGACTTTTGAGGAAAGACATAGGATACTTTTTACCACGATAACCGATGAACACGCGGGCGGAGCCACGGGCAAAAGCTAGTACGATATAATCACATTACAGTACGTTGTATGTTTAATACTTTACTACGTGTGTATGTGGTGTGGCTAGTATGTTTTTTATTATTATTATTTTTTCTATTTTCTCTTGTATTCGTTTTTTTCTTCTTAATCTTGTTTTCTCTTCATTGTCTTTTCACCTTTTAGTCCTTAATAACGGCATACTAGCACACATCAAAACAATGTTGTGGTATATTTAATAGTGCCGTATCTGTCTGTGAATTGCAAAAGAGTAGCCATGAGTTTGTTTGCCCTTTCTTCTCATAAGGGTCAACCCCTTGGAAACGGGCGGTTGTAGATCGGCACAGGCATTTCATAGATTTTGTACGGGTTTGATTTTTGTTAAATTTATTTGGTTACTATTTGACAAAACAGAGATTGTTGCTTTTGTGTGTGTTGATCTATGACTTTAGAGTCTACATGGAAGACGATTTCAAACAATTTTGGAAATTTTATGAAATAAAGAAACTTTGAGTTTGAGTTTACGAAAATACCTTTTGTGACACTTGTGAGATCAAAAGTTGATCAGTAATTGAATTTTGAACGAATTTCTATCAGAATAATAATTGACCTTCTGTTTTCCCATGAGTGGGTTTTCAAAACACCAAATAAATAGTATTTATACTCACTTTCTTTATACTGTAACACATATCTATGCTTTTCGTGTATTACGAGGCACCGGTAGCACTCCTCGTTCCTGAAACATTGTAATGTGTGAATTGTAGTTTTATCATAACAATTTCATACCAGCTGCAACATAAAATGATAATATGATTCCCACTTGAAGACTTGCTTATCATCATCAGCAACAGCTTTTAATAGTCCACTGCCGGACATAGGCCTCTCCTTAGAAAGGAGGTTTTCGCTCACTATAATAATAATATTAGTTTCACACATCTCACACACGGCGGTCTGATCCCAAACAAGGCAGAGCCTGTACTATGGTAACCAGACTGCTAATAAACATACTTTATCTATAATATGTATGTATTTAGAAACATATTTCCTAAATACATATATATTATAGATAAAGTACACCCAGACACAGAACAAATGACCGTTCTCATCACACAATAATTTGTCTTGGGTGGGAATCGAACCTACGACCTCTGGCGTAGCAGTCCGGGTCACTAACCACTGGACCATCAGGCCAGGTGTGTGGTTAGCTCCCTTAGTCGACTCTTACGACACCCGCGGGATGAATAGGGGTGATGACACTCCGTATTCTTAATCCGTCACCATACGGAAAACAGATACATACAAGATTTCCTTTCGATACTACAAAGATGGACTTTGAAATTGACTTAAATAATTGTAATAGGAGATACACTTACTTGTCGTAAACCAGGAACTTGTCTGTGCCATCAGTCTCAGCGCACTCCCCTTTGCCCTGCATGCTGGTGGAGTTGATGTAGATGAGGCCCGGGATCCCTGACTGGAACCATCCTCCCGTCCATGTGTCAGGAAAGTTGCAGCCTCCGCCTGAAATATAACATAAAAAAAAAAAAATTACTGCACTGATGGCGTGGTCATCTCGCCGCTTAACTACGCTATTGAAGTCCGGGTGTTCTTTGTGTCCATTACATTTATGTTTGTAAAGTTCCCACTATACAGGATATATTTCTATAGATAGAACAATATGTACAAATATTTTTTTTATGTTAGAGGGGACCACCTGACCACGGGTCACCTGATGGAAAGTGACTACAACCGCCCATGAACGCCTGAAACTCAGGAGTAACAAGCGCGTTTAAGGAAGCAGTAAGCTCTTTTCTTGAAGGTTTGAAGGTCGTATCAGTCTGGGAATACAGACGATAAGTTGTTTCATAGATTGGTTGTGCGAGGCAAAAAATATAAATTTCGGGTAGAAATAACTCTACAATGAGTATAATATACAAGATATTAGGCACTTAAGTACCTTCCTTCCTAGGATATACACGGGAACCCTGTAATAGACCCACATGTGTGGTTTTAGTCGGTTCGATTCCGACATACCACTTCACCGCGAGGTCATGATCTGTGGGGGATTGCACACCAAAAAAAAGGGCACTTAATTATTTATCACACTAATATTATAAAGGCGAAAGTTTGTGAGTTTGTATGTGTGTTACTTCTTAACGCTCTGGAACTGCTGGAACACTTTTCATGAAATTTAGTATTGTGATAGGTGACATCCTGGATTAACACAAACGTTACTTTTTATCGCGAAAAAATGTAGTGTTACCGCCGGATGGGCAACGATTAAACCGCGGGACGCATGTAATATTTATATAGTTAGTATTACCCGTGTGGTGACGGATAAGGAATCTGAAGTGTTCAGTTTGTTCCACCCCTATTCTTGTCGTGGGTGCCGTAAGAGCCGACTAAGGGAGCAAACTACGAACAACAGCACTGCTAATAGAGGGCAAACTTGACACAAACCATATACCAACCCGTCTACCCAGCGAGGTATAGTAGGCCAAAACCTCCTTCCTAAGGAGAGGCTTATATCCAGCAGTGGACTATTTAAAGGCTAGCTATAACGTTTTACATCAAAGACTATAACATTACCATAATTTTCGGTACACAATATCGGCTTTTAATACTACATTTAACAAGTGTTGTTCAGATTTAATATTAAAATTGTTCACGCTTATTCCCCGTTAATTTTAAACCAATAAAACCGCAATTAAATACAACCCTACAATTTGTATTATAATGAATTTGCACAGGGGTTGAAACAATGGATCTATATACAATGGCCTCTGAGTCTAGCATTCAAAGCTAGCCTAGGTACTGATTGCTTTTGTTCCAATTTTTGCGCTCCAATTTTAGCCGTCAAGAATTCTATACTCGGTGCATGACACAAGTTAAACGAGGCTAGCGTGACTATAAGCGTTTTCTAATAACGTAATATAAGTTATAACAAGTCCGTGTGGTGACGGATTAAGAATACGGAATGTCACCACCCCTATTCATGCCGTGGGTGTCGTAAGAGCCGACTAAGGGAAAAAACTACGCAGAACAACAGCACTGCAGAGAGAAGGAAAACTTGACACAAACCCCATACCAACCTGTCTGGCCAGAGTGGTATAGTAGGCCAAAACCTCCTTTCTAAGGAGAGGCTTATGTCCAGCAGTGGACTATTAAAGGCTGTTGATGTGTGTGTGTGAAGTTATACCATCAGCTATTTGCCGGTAAAAATCCAGTAACCGTCTGCTCATTATAATAAAATCTAGGAATCCTGGTGATTTTACACTTCCCTTCGAAACTACTTTAGGAATCCTAGGCTCAGGACGTTTAGAGACTAACCATCAAAGGTGATGAATTAACAAAGGAATTCATTCAAATTTGATTCTTTGGATATAAGTAACTTACTATCCCGAGTTACCTGCTGTTTATCATCTAACGTTCATCCACCGCGAACACTACATTTTATCGGGATAAAAAGTAGCCTACGTGTGAATCCGGAGAGTCAGCTACCGCCATATCAAATTATATCAAAATTGGGATAGCCGTTTGAGAAGAAAGTAACAAACTTTCGACTTTAAAATATTAGCATTTCATCATATTTACCATTTTAGTTTATAAATATTAAATTACATTAATTTTATAACTATTTATAAAATATAAGCTTACAGTAAAAAAGAAATATATTATAATGCAATTAAAAAATTACATCATTATCAATATTTAGACTGAAGACTGGTAGCGTTCCCAGAAGAATGGCAGCATTCCCACGTTGAAGGGCAATGATAATTCTCTGTGCTAGAAAAATTCCGGTCTTCTGATAACAAGAAGATCATTTGCTTAGCTAGTTGTTTATACATAGCACGAGCACCGACCGTAGCGTCTCGACGCCAAAAAGTTCAAAAATGTAATTTCCTACTAAATTTTGGTTGTAAATACCAAAATACCGTTTGAGGGTTTTAAGAGATATTTTTACACGCTTTATATTAGCTTCACTTGTATGTTTGGGCGTGACTTTAAACGGTCAGAATTCGTTCAAACTTTGTAGATATATCGAGGACCGATGACAATACACTATAAAAAAAAAAATAGTTTTAAATAACTAAAAAACACGCTTTTTATAGAAAACTAAACTAAAAAATATAAAATAAATTTGAAAAAAAAACGTGGGTTGCTTTTTACTATCGACAACAGGCACCCAAAGCTTTTTATTTTTTTTGTTTATTATAATTGAATAGGAGAAATTTACAAACACACATCATCTATTTACAACCACGATAAAACCTATCGGGGCCATCCAGCGACTGTAAGCGAGGGTGAAACTTCAGGAAACGGCTAACAGCATATTGGTTCACAGCAAAAATATTGACCCCGCAGTCATCTTATAACTTAGAAGGTAGCCCAAAGACCCGATGTATAAAACATTGTTCTCTATTGTCAGCGTTTCTTTGTTAAGTGGAGGGTCTCACTCCAGGTGTTAGCTGTGCAGGCCTTAGGGCTCCGTTCACAGTACAGTATAATGGGTCTATTTATATATTTTTTTAACATAACACAAGGCTGGTATCTTGTTTATCATGAATATCGTCATTAACAGCCCACTTTTGCACATAAGCCCTCCTTAAAAAGGAGGTTTTGGCCTACTATATCACGGTACCCAGATGGGTTGGTATAGGGTTCGTTTCAAATTTTCCTTCTCTTTACAGTGTTGTTGTCCTGAGTAGTTTGCTCCCTGAGTCGGTTCTTAAGACACCCACGGGATAAATAGGGGTGGTGACACTCCGTATTCTTCATCCGTCCACATACGGACTTGTTTGCTAAAACGGCTGAAGTTTGGATGAAATTTGGCACAGAGATACATCATATTCTGGATACTAATCGTATTAAAACAAACTAATCCTATAACTATGTACTAACATAGACTACTTTTTATCAAGGAAAAAAATGATTGTCATCATCGACTTTAAAGCGAACGCAATGGCGGATAAATTATCGATACTTCCCGCGACTTACTTCAAGTAGTATTTGAAAAGTGCTGCCTTAGTGGTGTGGCGGTACGCGACTGCAGTCCATAAAATTTTATAGGGTTTTCCTGAGAGGAAAAATAGTTACTCCTTATATAGACAGCTATCTTTTAGTCAAATATATATAAACTAGTTTTTAGGTAAAGTTATCGTTCAAATAACTGTGCGAGTATGAAAAAACCTATAATTTTGACATTACAAACAGACTTTAATTTTATTTATTTGTATACATTTAGATGTGAAAGTGAGTTTATTTGTTTGTAAACCACTAAACCGATTTTAAATTTCTCTCATCAATGGAAAGCCACATTATCAGCGAGTAACATAGGCATTTTTAACCGCGATAACTGACAACACGCGGGCGGAACCGCGAGCAAGAGCTAGTAAATACAATAAACTATATTTAGCTTTTGTTGCACCTCTGTTAAGCCACAGTCCACGATTAAATAACTATAAACGTATTCTTTAACGTCCATCCGTCCGTCAATTGTTATAATATACTAGCTGACCCGCGCAACTTCGTCTGCGTCTCTCAATAGTAATAAATTTTCTCCGTTTTTGAAATATTCTTCATTGGTGCTCCGCTCCTATTGATCTTAGCGTGATGATAACTTGTTCAACAGGTCAGTAGTGCGAGGCAAAAAGTGTCTTGAAAAGCGTGCCAATTGGTGCCACAGTGGTGGAGTGCCAATTATCCAAGTGGTGGGAATGAATATTTTGCCGTGTGGAAAGATGGCGGAAGTACATAAGTTTTAATTTCATTATTAATGAACACTTCATTGCACAAATGTGTTATTGTATAAAATGGCTAAGCAGTAATCATCATTTTCGGATTTCTGTATATGTCATCTACGAGCTATTTTATAGACGGTCCCGTTGCTTTAGTGGTCAGTGATCATAACTGCTAAACCAGACGTGGTGGGTTCGTTTCCCACCCAGGACAAATAATTGTACGATGAGCACGGTCATTTTTTCACCATCTTGGTGTAATTTATCCTGCATCTTTTTTTTACGTGTGGAAACCGCTGTCACCTCACCTGAGAACTGCTGTTATTAAGACATGCGGACCCCTCGTAACGCCTGCCCGCAATGCCGCGGGCACCACCTTCGGGTACATTCTCTATCAAGGCGACGTCCGGCACACACGGACGTAGCCTCCTCGCGGCTGGCCGTTATGGCGTGTGGAGGGAAAAACCCGTCCAGTCCACCCGCGGCCACACTCAGGGCGGCGTGAGGCGGCTGTAAGCGCGCCTCCGCCGCCGACGTCTTCGCAGAAGGATGCGACCGCGGAACATCTGTCACTAGCGGCCGTGGAGCGTATGACGGCCAGTAGCGAGAGATCCCCCGATACCATTACTGCATAGTTATGGATCAGATGGCTGTGTGTGAAGTTATTGTTATTATCTCAACGATTCAACCCCCCCACCTCCCCTCCCAAAACCAATTTAGACTTGACTTTGTGACTCTTGAGTTGCGGATGCGGCAGCAGTCACCATCAAGAAACCAGTCTGCTAGCTTACCCCTGACAGCATCATAATAGATTTCATATTCCTTTTAATATTTAAATGATAAAATACCTACGTACGTAACGTAAACAAACCAATAGACAATATCTATGACAATAATTTTATCGATATCATTATTCCAGCCATAATGAAAACGCATTCCACAAAATTCAATATTGGTGTACATCGTCCAAAGATTTGTTCCCGATCATTAATATTATTCAATTCTACCCTCACGGAGGCTTTTAAACAAAAATATTTTAATTAATCTATGACTGGTATTCGGTGATTTATTACCAAATTAATCGTCCCCTCGTTTCGCAAGATGGCGTTGCGAGCACTTGCTCAGGTGAATAAATACATTCAATTATTAAAATGGCCTACAATTAGTTTTCGAAATTGCAGCGTCAAAAACAATTTTGTTGGCTGACAGACGAATAGAAAATTGAGTTATAAATTTTAGTGGATAAGGCCTCGTCTGAACTGCTGTTTTATATCCCGCGTTTACAAAAAGTCCATGTTGTGACGGATTAAGAATACGGAGTATCACCACCCCTATTCATTATGTAGGTGTCGTAAGAGCTGACTAAGAGAGCAAACTTCGTAGGACAACATCACTGCAAAAAGAGAAGGAAAACTTAACACAAAACCGATACCAACATGGCTGGCCAGCGTGGTATAATATTGGCCTAAACCTCCTGTCTAAGGAGAGGCAGTGGAATGTTATAGGCTGTTAATGATGATGGTTATAAAAATGTGATTTTACAACTTTCCTCGTGGTCTCATATCTGGTCGTGGGTTCAAATCTAACCCAGGACAAATTGTGTGAGTAGCATAATCATTTGTTCTAGGTCCGGGTGTAATTTATCTATAATATGTGTGTATTCAGAAATATTTAGGTGTTTGAAAACATGACGTGGGCGGCGATATCAGCCGTCGACGGGGCCGCGGGCCGCCAGAGAGTGGGGACCTCTGCTGCGGTAGGGAATGTAATGGCCGGCCTGATTGCATTAAGATGCGATCGGGCCGCCATGTCGCGGTTGAAGGGGGAAGTGTTCTCCCCTGGGATAGGGCCTGATTAGGCATGGTGTCAATTCGGGGAGGACCTGAAATAACATGGTCCGGGTGGTTTTTAGTGGAATCACCACATACTCCTGGCTCCTGAGTCCCCGAGGAGCAGGAGATTCGAAGGGATTTTCCACCCCGCCAAAAAAAAAATAGGTGTTTGAAAACATGATAATTTGTGTCCGGTTGAAGGCAGTAGTGTGTGGTGTTCCGGTGTGTAGTCTTGCCACCTATTACGAAAGAGAGATTTAAAATTATATTTGGCAAAATGAGAGCCTTTAATATACAACCCCTTCGGGAATAAAGACGTAAGAGATAGGACGTCAGTGTGTGACAAGTTCATCATTCTCCATCATCCTCCTAGTCTTTTCCCAAACTAGGTTGGAGTCAGCTTTCAGTCAGTCTTTTCGGAGAGGAGTCAGCTTTAGTCTACTACTTCGAATTTTTACGGGAAGCGTTTGCCAAGAGACCTCCACAACCCAAGTACTAGGCGATATCGAAGTTCTGTAGATAGACTGACGCTTTTGAGGGCTAAAACTACGCGAAACGATTTCCACAGATGTTCGTATGGTAACAGGGACCTACGGCTAAATAAGCCAGGCACGGAGGGGTCTCCTTGTGTTAAGAATGGCCACCAATCCATAAACTGGGTTGGTTAGAATT